TTTATTTACTAAAATTATGTGTACCCTTAATTGGTATTTCTTACCGAGCACTCCACAAATTTATGACATAATTAAAATGCAACACTCTCAGGCCATATTTAACTGTGTTAATATTGACAGCAGCCGACAGAAAAAAGAGAGGGAAAAGTCAATATTTTTACAAAAAATTTAACACAGAGACTCGTAAATTTTGCCCACAAATATCAAGCTCCCATAAAGTGCACATTTTTTCAATTTAATGGGGCCAACGAAGACCAAAAACGAAATTGAAAATTGGCAAAACGGAAAATAATTCCAATGCAAATGAAAAAAACAAGGAAAGAGAATAAGAAGATATTCTTTCAGATAAATTGCATTATCGTTGATTTACAAAGAATTTATTGCATATAAACAAATTGCTGACGCAACAAATCTATTGTTTGGATATTTGTCTCCCGGGAACCATTGCAAAGCGAACAGAATGAGAATCAAATGGCAATCAAATCGTTGAATATCCACAAAAGAAGTCATTTCGTATAATATAATTCTGTATGAAGTGTGCGTGAGCGGAGCAGAGCATAAAAATTCCATGAAAATCCAGCGAAAAAAGGGTCACAATGGCATGATTGACTTTTGGTTTCATAACCAAACACTTTGAGTTCCAGCTACATATAAACTTAAATGTACGTATACAACTGATAAGAAAAGCTTTTGGGAAAAGAAAGATTGCAACTATATAGATTGTAAGATTGATAGAGCCTGACGATAGCTCCCCATCAAGAACTAATCTAATTGATTCCATTATACAATAGGTTCTCCACGAACATCTAGATTGTGTCGGCTGTTCTTTATTGGCGACGCGTTGCGACGCCTCCAATTTTACCAATAAACTCTGGCAATCCATTAGAAAACGAAGCCTGAAGCTCTTCAGTCTTTAAATATTTCCGCACAGTTTACTTTTGCTGAACTTGCACTTTCCGAGCCCCCAAGCCCCTAACTAATTTTTTCACTTACTTTGGGAAAACCCATCCAAACATAAATTCTGTAGGGTCAGTTTTTGTACGTTCAAATATTAAAAAAAAAATCTAGAAAACGGAAAAAGTTGAAAAATTGTTTTGGGCTGGATGGCAGAAGCAAATGCCGCTACATTGAATTGAATGGGCTGGCAGACTCAAAGGGTTCTTAAGTTCTCTTTTCCTTAACCTTGCCGGGTAACTAATGGGTTAAGGCAACTTGGAAACAGATTCAGACCCAAGGAGCAGCACCAGCAGCAGCACCAGCAGCAGGCACGCGAGTCTCTCGTTAGGCGGGAGACCAATTGACACTGAATTTAATTCCGCATGAAGTGTTATGCCATAGCCTGACATTTGAATTGGTAATTTCAGTGCCATGGTGGAAGGCGTCCTGGAACCGCGTCCTCGCCAGTGACATCTCCGTGTGGCAAACGGTTGCTTAGACCACATAACGGAAATTGCCTTTTTTGCGCGACTTCCGTTTTTGTGCGATTTCTGCACGCAGCATCAAGCGATACTTCAGAAAGTGACAGCTTGCCAGTCCCATCACAAAGGAGCAGCGCCTGTTCCCGCTTCAGTGGTGGCTCTGGCTCTGGATCTGGATCTGGGTCTGGCTGCTTCTCTGTCGGCTCCAGTTCCAGTTCTACTTACCGCGACACTTGGCATGCCACGCATAAAGCTGTCAATGTCAATGTAACGTGTTAATTTCAAAGTGGTTTAGTTTGTTGACGCAGCTTGTTAGGCAGACCCACTCCCGGCGGAGAAGGGAGCTTCCACTCCTTCTGCCATCTGGAGCACAAAATGTTGGAGCACATGTGGTTTTTATGCTACTTCAGCGTTAAGGGGGTTACTCAGGAGCTGCCTTTATCCCTTTCGCTTGTTGTCTGATGCCTGCTGCAGATGATTTCTATCGTGGGATTTGATTGATTGAAACTTGTTTAGTGTTGGGGACGCTACGGGGACCTGCATGAAAGCAGCTTGGGATGAAAAAAACGTAGCTGATTTCGGAATTTAACTTACTTTGAGCTGTAAAAACCTGTGATCCAAATATTTGCATTTTAAAGTGATTAATTATACAGCAACTCTACGCGGGAAAGAATCGATTTGTAATGTACAGTCACCGCTACAGTTTATCGTCAGAGATGGGGTACTATCGGGGGTAACAGGCTTTAACGGATAGAAGAGAAAATTCCGTTTAGGTTAGCCGAAAGCTTTGAGTTACGTACTACAAAAAACAGCGAAGTAAGACAGGTAACTAACTACGCCCAACTTCTGCCCCCAAACAACAGTACTCGTACGGTCTTCTCGCTTTCCATAGCATCGATAATAGATTGTGAATTCGCTGCAAAGCCCAAACATAATGGGACTTCAGGGTCCTGCCAAATCCATAAACCGAATGCAAATCCCATTGCCTACACTCGGATCAGAACCACAACAGCCACGCCCACATTAGCAGCTTGTAAAAACTGTAAATGCTGCGAAGAGCCGGGCGTATTCGTAGTCCTGTTTATGCGCCAACGCCTCCTGTGGTCCTGCTTAACCTCTCGGTCCTCCGCTGCCAGCACGCCGAACCTCATTACAAGGCTCAGGCCCGCCAAATGCCGACTGTCATGTGGTTAAGGGGGAGACTGAGCCATGCCAGGAGACTGGTGCTGCTAAGCACCATAAAAGCAGTCGGAAAATGGGGGAAATCTCCAGCTTCGGTTCCAGCATCAACATTTTTGATAGAAAATAAAATTTGCTTGTGTTTTTCGAGAGATTTTCGCACGTTGACAAGAGGCACGCGAGGTCGGAGATGGAGGAAGCAGCCCCATTGAACCTTATTGTAGGCACTCCCAGGCAAATGAGGCAAATGCAATGGGGGCCAGACGGTTTCAGTAGGCAGACTGTGGGGAGCAGCACTGCGACGCACTCAAAATCCAAATGCATGAGACTTTCATTGTCGGCTGGAAGAGCTCATAAACTTGTTAAATGAAATTGCTGTTTGGTGTTGGTGTTGGTGCTGGTGCTGGTGCTGGTGCTGATGCTGGTGATGGTGTTGTAGGTTGGTATTTGTATTTGTCTTTTGTGTTTGGATTGTTCATCATTTTGTCAGCCAACATCTGGCATTGACAAGCTTAAACGTGTCTCCATAATGCTGTTCATGTGGTTCCTCCTCCGAATGGGCGACAAACAAAAGCCAATTACGAGTACATACAGTACGTACAGCCATGTGGCATGGCATCCAGCAACATCTGCTAACCTGCAAACAAAGCTGCATAACAGATTTCTATCACACCCATACTGAACGGGGAGATAAAACCTGGAAACTGCGTTGGAACCTGCCCCTTTATCTGGTCATGGCTTCGGTCCATGCCAATGCAGCTTCACGCTGGGGCTGTGCAGATATGCTGCAGGAATTTCTGGGATTTTAAACAGATTTTATGGGCTTGAGCAGAGAGGAAGACAGGCATAGGATTTCCCACATATAACCATCAACATAAAACTGTCTGAACTAAGGCCAGAGCAAATCCATCACATACTCGGATCACACATGAAAACCATTCAAACATTATTCAGAAGGCTGATCCTCAGCGACAAAAACTGTTTGCCAAATATGATTTGTGGCACGCGACCGAAGGCGACAAGAGCGACAATAATCTGGGCCCCATTGCAATGCCGACCCCATTTTGTAGCTGACCGCAAAAGGAATACATATCTTTATTCCACATGCGGGCCACATGGCGTATGCGCAATAAAAATAACTGAATAACTGACTAGCCTGAGAGAAGAGACAAAAGAGGACTAAGGACTGAGGACTGGGGACGAAGAGTGACTGAATGACTGAGTGAAAGCACACTTGAAGCAATTTGTCTTGCCAGATACGTGACTTATTCCACTCGCCTAGTAAGTGCTTCAAGAGTAATATTTTCGCTAGATGGTTATTCCTATTGCTGTTCCTATTCCCGCATTTTTATAGCATTCCTTGTGGGTTGTGTGTCAAGGTGCGACGAGGTCAGCACTTTCACTGGCAGAACAAAAAATCCCACTCACAAAGCGGATGTAAAACTGATTGCACAACATGTCCCTGCGATTTCCGTTCCATCCCATTTCGTTGCGTCGCTTTTGGCGGCTAAAGCGCTGGCGTACCGTACTCATTAGGTTATGCAAGATGAAAACATAGAGCGATTCAACGACAGAGGCAGGGACTGTGAAAGTGACAGTGACAGTGGCAGACAGAATCAGCGGATTATTAACGAGAATCTCAATGTCAAGTGCTAAGAGCTTTAACGCCCCACACAAAACACTGTAAAATCACTCAGGAGATACACTTGGAATGGGCTTAGAACGACTCCAGCAGCCAGAACAGAATACCACACAAGAATACACAAAAAATCAAGCAAAAGAAAGGCTTTAGGCAAACACACTCACCAGATAGCAGACAAGACACCCGCATTGTGGCGAGCAAACACATGCCACAACATGTAAGTAGTCTTTTAGGGGCTGGGAGCCTTATACACACTCAAGATGTTGCGGTGCATTTGTCTTAATTTGTGACAAATGCATGACAGAGCAAACAAGCAGCCAACACCAGGAACAATGGTTGTAAGGCGCATTGAAAGTCGCATCTGAAATGCCCTCACTAAGAAATTCCACCGAAATTAGCCTCAACCTTCTCCGATATTGCAATCCTCATAGCTTTGAGTTTTAAACAAACTATCATGAGGTAATAGCTGATTCCCCACACATGGATGCCTTATTCATTCTGGTTTTCCTTAAGTTATTTATCCCTAAGCTTGGTAACCTTTTTCTTATATCCCATTGGTAGAGTAAACAAAATAAAAACAAAGTTGCTAAGCAGAAAAGTTCAACCAAGGCTAGGTTCAGAGAAAATAAATCTAACCCAAAAAAGAGCAGGCGGTAAAGTGCTGGTCCTTACCAAAAAGTGAATCAAGTGCATGAGAAACAATCCCAAAGGCAAAGAACAACAAAAATAAATAAGTATTGCACAGATAAATCCCGAGTTCACACAGCCAGGAACTCATTGTCACAAAAACACATTAGATCTGATAGAAATTTCAAACTTTTGAACAAACGTCTTTCGAATTAAGACCCAAAATAAATACCGAACAACATATCCATGGCTAGCGCTCTCAAGAAGGTAATCGTGGTGGAATCGAAAACCAATTTCGATAGCATCATCGGCGATGCGGGCAACAAGCACATCCTGGTGGAGTTCTATGCCACCTGGTGCGGTCCCTGTGCCCTGATCGGGCCTCGACTCGAGCAGATGGCCAACGAGTATGCCGGCCGCATGCTCATCCTAAAGATCGATGTAGATGACCACGAGGAACTGGCCATCGAGTACGAGATCACCAGCATGCCTACCTTCCTGATCATCAAAAACAAGGTGACTCTAGCCCAGTTTGTAGGTAGCAACGCTGAGAAGGTCGAGAGCACTGTGGAGAAGTTTGTCGGCAAGCCGGAAGGCATGAAGACGGTCACACCCGAGGGTGCTGGGACCTCGCGTGCCGTGGCCGAGGCCGCCAAGAGTGCTTTGGCAACGGGCGAAGCGGAGAAAAGGCTCGAGAAGAAGCCAACTATGGATAAGAAGTGAGGATGTCACGAATTTCGGTTATTGCTCTAAATTAAAAATTTAACACCCATGCCTGGCCTCTATTGAGTGTCAACGACTTTTGGGGGTAGACTCAAGTGCGCATTTAGTGGGAAATATGTTTGGGGATTGAGTTAAATAATCTTCTTCTTATCCAGATCCTGTTTTTCTCACTGTCGTTCCTCCATTTGAGTTTCTTGCCGGAGCTACACTACACAGATGATTGAGTTCATTCCATAGTAATCTTTATTGTAGACAAATAAATCGCCTTAATTGGCACCATTTTCATATGTACATAGTCAGGTGAATGCTTTGCCCTGAATATGCTTTCTAATTAAAGGACGCGCCTATCATCTGTATACCTGCCACCTTCTGCACACCAAACAATGAACCTTTTTGTTAGCCCACTTTCGGAGGACATCTGCGATCTATTTTATCCCCCAGCATCCATTGTCTCAATGCAATGTTGTTTCTATAAGCCGGCCATATGTGTGACTCTCGTCCATCTGTCGTTCGCATTACGGGCAGTTCAATTAGATTAATTAAGCCAAAGCCAATCGGCTCGACGGCCTATGTCGGGACAATGGACAATGCTGGTGGGAGCGTCATCTGGCTCTGGCGGCTTCAACTTTAAGTGCGAATCGGCGATAAGTTGTGGGAGAGAGAAACAGAAATAGACAGAGAGACGAAGACAGCTTATGTCCCTCGGGCCCTGACAGCTGTAAACTGACACTTTGTTTTACTTAACTTCCAGCTGAGTGATGCAACGAGGGGCGGGAGGCGGTGTCAGAAAAGGCCAATGCTCCCCCCCCCCCCACACCCCCACCAGCCGCCAACTTTCATTCCTTTTAACATTCTTAAGGACCTTATTGAAAACTTATTTGTGTCTCTCTTTTTCTCGTTTGCCTCGCATTGCTCCTTGTTGTTGTTTGTGTTTTTTTCATGCTTTTGCTGGTGTTTTCGTTTTACTGTAAAATCGAAAAGCTTCGCTGCATTTAATATGGCGGGAGCGAGGGTGTAGAGTGGAGAATGCAGAATGGAGAGCTGGGAGACAGAGTGTGATGCTTCCTTGACTTTTCTCAGCCAGAGACATTTGCATTTTTATTAAAATGAGAAATTGCAGCAGTTGCAGTTGACTGAAATGCTCTTCGTCTCTTCCCCCCTGGCGACAGAGTATTTGAGGCATCGAATGGGTGGGGTGCTAGTGGCTAAAGACTTCAGTTTTATTTTACGGCGGTTAAATTCCCTTGGCAGCAAAAAAAAACAAAAACATGCAAGTTATAGCACTTCCCACAACGATCTGCACATTATAGATCCTTGGCCTAATTAAAACACTCATGTACACATGGGAAGGGATTTATTAAATATAATAATTGTTTGTCAAATAACTCGTGATAGTTGCTCAAGGGTCTTTCTCTTTCTCTCCTTTAGAGCCATAATCTGCCGCAAACTGCCATAACAGTCTTTAATTTTAAATGCTCGTAGTTTCGTCCCTCTACCTCGGATAAACAAAGGAACGCAAATCTCGAACCATATGCCACTGTGGGCCATTGTGGGGGGCATGTGGGCAAGGCAGCGTGCGAGTGTGAGCTATAAATTTGGAACTCGACCAATACCGAGACTCGGGGAAATTTATACGTATTCTAAGCTCTGCCTTGTCCAAGCTCCATGGCCACCCCTTGCCACCGCATCTCTTTTGTTATGCAAGTTAATTCTTTTTATGGCTATTGTTCAGCGCATCAACACGCCCCCTTCAGGAGAGCACGAGCACACGCAGCAGCAGCCCACGCCCATGCATGTGCATTTGCCACGTATGGAAGGAAGGAGCGGGGTAAGGGCAAGGGTAAGCAGCAGCAGCAGCAGCTGTGGCACATGTCAGTGCATTTTTCAACGGCTCCAAGAGGCGACACTGCCAGCCAACATATTAGCTTCCACACATGCCACACTGCAGGGTGTATAGTGGGTGGCGTAGATAAGGTGGGAGGGGAATTGGGATTGGGATTGGACTCCAGCTTGGGCTGATGCATGTGCATCTACTGCTGATAGTCGGAGCTGAAATCTGGCGCATGTTGCGGGCGGCAGCAAGTGTTGGGTGGCATGCCGCAAATTCATTATTTTTTCCCTCGACAGACTCCTCCCCCCCCCGTTTTACTCTGTACTGTATAAACACTTCCACACATATGAAGTGCTGCTTAGTGTGGGAAACAAAGGGAGCAAAAGGCGGCACTGGATAAGGGAACTTTAAGAGTTTCAACAAGTGGCAAGTGGCAAGTGCCGAGCATCAGGATCGAACAGAGTAAAGAACTTTCAAGGCAGCCATCCACTTAGAATAGAATAAGACTATGTTGCTTCTTGCTCTAAAACTAAAGTCCTAAGGTGCTTGTGGTCAGCGAACCAGGAAAATCCTTATTGTCACAGAACAAAACAGGTGCCAAAAACCAGACTCTATTTCCCCTAAGACCTGCAAACGTACCATCCAAGCTTCAAGCTTCAAGAAATTCAACCACCCGACCTTGAGTGTATCTCATCACCTCCTCAAACCTCAAGCGAATAGAGCCAACCGTCAAGTTCCTGGTGATTTGGAGTCATCACCTTCGGACTGTCGTCCTCTTTCGTATCGCTGCTGCACTGACTGCAGTCGCTGATGCTGTTGCCGCGTGCTAGGACACGAACTAGCGCCGATTGGGGTATACGGCCATCCCACTCGTTCCCATCGTTCTCTGAAGTGGCGGGGCTACTCGCCTGAGCGGCCTGGAGACGGTGGTGGCGCTGGAACCGACGTCGTTGCGATTGGGTAAAAGATCGGCTGAGATTTATCCTTAGCTCGGACATATGCCGTCTCAAGGCCAAGGCGTCCCGGTGCGAGTAACCTTCGCTATCGATCGGGAAGCGACCCTGCCACGAGGACGAGAGTGTCTGCAAGCTCGAAAGAGAGGTCGATCGACTCATAAGGGCCGGCCTGCGCGGCCTGGATGGCTGGAGGAGACTCGCATCGTCCGAGCTGGTCCCGTCGCTTTCTCCCCTGTGCCTGGCGGCTCCTTCATTGAGGCTGGAGAAAGCCTGTCGCAACTCAAGGACTGAGCTGGTCACGGAGCTCGCTCCCCCGCTGACAGCCACGGAAGTGGTGGACGGTGACGGCGAGGCTGCCGCGGATCTTGAATCTGTGCCATTGGGATTCAGAATGGGGCTGAAGGCCATCGGAATGCGTCTTGCCTCCTCTGAGGTGTACTCCGTGCTGTTCTCGGACATAATTCCTTGAGAAGAACTACTGAATATTGACGCAGAGTTCTGAATTTGACTGATTTTTAATATGGAATTTTGTTAGACTTTCAATACGTCAGCATGTAAATAAAAATGTATCGACACGAGGGTGATGGATAGATGTATGATACTGGCCTGGACATATGTATATGTATGTACACCACACGACTCGTATTTCGAATGGCGAAATATAAATTGATTGCATTGGTGCAACTTCATGATGGGACTTCTTAAGGACTTAAAGATTGAGCTGGCATGCCTGCTCTCATTTTCATTTATTTCCAACCCTTTTCATATCTATCGACCACAATTAGCTGCCAGTGCTTCGCATCCTTCCCTTCTTCTACCACAAAACAAATTCAAATGAATTGAGGGAGTCTCGCTTCTCGTGCTCATAGCTCTCGCATTTTTGCCCTGGCTGACTGCCCTCCGGCTTTTCAAGTTAAGTGGATTGTACAAAATTGATGAAACCTTTACTGTTCCCTCGCCATGTCCCTGTCCGTGTCCCTGTCCCTGCTCCTTCGATTGCTGGTTGTTTGCCCATCAGCTGCCTGTCGGTTGCCACTTGCAATTTCTTGTTCTCGCACTTGACAAATGCACAAATGAAAAATCAAACAGCCTGGCAGCGAGCACATTGCAGATGCTGGATTAGCAGACAAATCAGACAGACGCCCCAGCATCCGGGCATATGCTGCCCAGTCTCCCACATTAGTGGGAGGGCAGGGCGATTTGTCAGTTGAGAGCGGCTTATGCTCAAATTGTTGTAATTCCTCATTCCGAGACAACAAATTACTTTCCGCTTTTAAACTCATTAATATTTAATGCATCTAGGCAGCACCACAGCTGGGACCAGCACGATACGACATCGAATTCCCGGCAAGCCGCAAGTTAATGAACTTAAATGGTTCAGGTTCAGGTTTGGGTTTGGGTTTGGGTAAACATACACATTAAGTTTGGTCAGTTGGAAAGTTGCTTAATGGACAGAGTCTCGGATTTATTCGGGTCTCATAAAACAAATATGTGGTAGTACATTTTCCCTTGCTGTGTTTGCAATAGATTTTGAGCCAGCCAAAGGAACATTTTCTTTGGTCTCAAGCCAATACTTTTAAAGCGATTGCAGATGTGGCAGAAAGCAGAGAATCCTTAGCGCAAGCTTTTAACGTATTTGACCAATCAAACACAGTCCGATCGAATCTCTTGGCCAGATAATCGAAGTACAATCCCATCTCTGCCTGTTGGAACTCTTTCGGCGGCTCCGGGAGTACTGGTCTGTCCTCTACTACCGTCTTTCCTTTGACAATTTAGACCATTTATCACATTTGTTCTTTCTGTACTTGGGCCCACTCCCCTTGGGGCAGCTTCTCCTGCTCTCGTATCTCTCTTTCCAGTTGGCATTGCCCCACTCACCTACGCCGGCTCTCTCTTTATACCCTGCTACGCGATTCAATTTATTTGGTATTTCTTATTTATTTAACTTTTTTCTTTTTTGGGTTCTTGGGTTCCCGGCGGCTCTCATCGCTTTGTTGTTTGTTGCCGGTTGGCTCTGACAATTGAAAACCGCAGCCAAGCAGCCAGGACAGGCAGCCAGGCAGCCAGGCAGCCAGGCAGGCAACCGAACAAACAAATAAGCAAACAAACATTTCCGAGTATAAACGTGGCCATTTCCAGTGCCGTACAACGGGGCGTATGAGCTACGAGTTATGTGCAATGCGACTGAACACAAACGAAGCGGACCGAAGCGCAGCCTGACTGTCTGTGTGTCCCTTAAAATATCCTACTATCTCTACTCCTGGGCTCGTCTTCATTTCAGCCCCAATTGGATTTTCTTGCTTTGTTTATTTGCTCGTTTAAATTGTTTAATTTGCATTATGTGACAGGCGGGTAGGAGGCATTTTCTTCTTATAAATGTTAGGGATGTTTCCGGGATACCAGTTCGGATCAAAGGAATGTGAAGAAAAGTAATTAAAAAACAGCTGCAAAGGTTGTGCTGTGCTGTGCACAAAGAGCCATAAAAGGAAAAACATTTTATTGTGTAAAAAACCAAAACGAAAGCGCCAAAAAGTAAGCCAAAAAGGCCATCAAATCATCCATGATTCAGTTAGAATACAAAAATACAAGTTATATAAAACAATTTTTAAAACAGATGACATTTTAGAAAAGTATTTGCGAAGTGGAAATACAATTTCGGGCAATAAATCATGACAGACTATAATGTCAGAACAGATGCGGAAACGGAAAAATGCCGAATGAGAATTGCAGAACGGGAAGCTACAAAAAAATATAATACAAAAAAATAATTTATTTTTAAATGCATCTACAATGATATTTTTTCCAATGCAGCTATAAAGTAAGCTTGATGCACAATAAAACGCAGAAATTCAAATAATTAAAATCAGATAAAATGTCTGGTAATGATGTTTCGGTGACTGAGACAGCACAAAGCGATCAGGTAAGATAAACCCTTAGCCAAACAATCGTCTAGAAATAAATATTTGAACATCACTCTCTCCAAACTATACATCAAGGAGTGAAGTTCCATTCCGTGCCTTCTGTCTCTCAGACAGTTACACTGACACAGTTACACCCCCAAGCAAACCTCTCTGTTGACCCAAAAAACTACTGCATGCCCATAACTACTGCAAATAAATAACACTAGTAGTTGAGATATGTATCCTTTGATCCCACGCAATTTAAGTATCAAAGTTTATTTACATTTTCACTGTTTGATTGCTGGCATGATGCATACACGAGTATTTGCTATGATTTTCGCTGGCAGATTTTCGGTTGAGTTTTGATCCGCACATTTACGAAAACAATTGTTTGTGTTGCATATTTTATGGTTGCACTTTCACGGGCCGATGACTGAGCGATGAAGGGCATGTTTGCATATTCATTTTACCCACCAAGGTTTCTGTTCTACATATATGTATGTATGTTTTTTGCGTTGGCATAAATTATACGCTACTCCTATTTAGGGCTATTTTAGAGCAGTTATTCACGTGGCACTTACAAATATTTATGCATCTGGTTATTTTGTTGAAATTTTATTGCCTACCTTTTCGCCATACGTAAGCACCCATATACGCGCACACTCCCATATGGGTGTATGTGTGTATGTATGGGCAGATCTGTTTCTGAAATATAATTTATTATTATGGTTACGCATTTGAATTTTTGTGTTTTCGTTCAAATGAAAATGTTATTTCTAGGCCAGACCGAAAGGGGAAGGCGAAATGTTGCCAAGTTTTAGGTGCCAAATGGTAGAAGCGATATATGTAGATGCAAGATACAGAACAATTATTGAGTCAGCATTAAGCGGATCTGCTGGTACATTTAAACATATGTACATGCGTACGTACGAGTATATGGAACTATATTGCTCAATTGCATAATTCTGGGTAGGAAATATATGGGCTTTTTATGGGTCTCCTTCTAACTCTATTGAATAGGTTTAAAGCATTTCCTGCTACACGAATTATAAGTGTGATATCAGATATTTGAATATGTGTTGCCCATATGTATGTATGAATGTGCACCAAAGCACCCCAGCCTCACGAACCGCCATTACTTCAGTTTGGCTGCCAACAATTAAGCGATTGCTCTCTTTTTCTGGCGCACTGATCAAGCTCTAATCAAATAGGGCCTCAAAGAGGCAGTCAGCTCATGGCAAATTGTTTGGTATTTGCATATCATTTGTATACCCAGACCCCAGACCTCTCTCTTTCTCTCTTTATCGAAAAAGATAAAAATAAAAGACTGCTCATTACGCCAGACGACCTCAGAGGAAGGAGCACGGAAAAGGGGCAATGGCAATGTGTGGATAGTGGCTGCGATTCAGGCTGAGACTGAGACTGAGAGCAAGACCGAGACTGGAGAAGAAGCTGCTGGCTCGACCAAACCGTGACACAGTTAAAGGGCGAGAGTGCACAAATTTTGCTGGTGCCCTGCCAACTGGGCTAACGATTTTGTGTCCCCTTTGTCTGTACGAGCACGAGTGCGAGTATGAGTATGTGGCTCTATCTGTGTGGCTCTGTGTGTGAGTCGGTCGACATTTGGTCGTTATTTGATCATCATTAGCGATACGAATCGGGTAAGGTCGGTCCGCAGGTCCGCAGGTCCATACGTATCTACGTAAGTATTGTAAGGTCGTCTGTATGTGGGCGCCTCTTCATTGCTTCATTGCCCCTCTATACTGCTTCTCCCACACCACAGAGGGTGGGGTGCCCTCTTTATACCTCCTGCTCTGGGCAAGCAATGATGTCCGGGTCCGCTTTGCTTGGCTGCATCGAAAGTTGCAACAAAAGTTTCCTTCTCTCGCTGGCTCGTTTCCCTTTGTGTGTTGTGCTTGACTTGGTTGGCTCTTTGATTAAACCCAAAATCCGCCGGGAGTGGAGTGGAGTGCGGCGTGTACCACAGGGGGTGGCACGGGCACGGGCACGGGAACGGGCCAGTGCAGAGTGTTGCATAGTCAGAGTGTAATTAAATAATTGCGGTGAGCACCGCTCGCCGACCATATCGAGCTAATGTATTTGGTGCAAAATCTCACTTGGGATTTTCCTTCTCTTATTTTGGCTTTATCTCCTTTTTTTTTTGTCCGACATAGTTTTTGGCTCGTTTTGAGTTTGATTTCGTTACTTACTTTACCCAGCCTTTGGGCGCAGATTTTATTTGATTTCATAAGTTTGTTGGTTCAGTGTGCGCGGCGCGACTCCATGAATTTGCTGTCTGTTTCTGTGGGACTTAAATGTAATTCCCTGGATGTTGTGGGTACTCGTGATCTGCTGAGGTGGAGCTGTGCACAGACTTTCTGGGCTCAGCAGTAATTCGGGTATTACATTTAAGTCCAGAACTAACTTTTACGATTGGGGAACTTATTTATGTTCAAAGTATATCATAATCTGTTGGCATCAAAGCTCTATTAAGACTGAAATGTGTTTCTGTATTTTGTAGAAAACTTTTAAGTTCAAATTTTGAATGCTTTAACATGCTTTTATATTCATAAAACGAGTTTACTCGAATGCCAAATAGACCTGTGATTGACACATTTGATTTAATCAGCTATTTTTGCATGCTTTCAATAACTAGTGACTCTTCTCTACCTCCAATAGGTTTAAGCAATTAATTATAGAATATAAGCAGGGAATCTCCTTGAAATATCTTTAAAGCTCCGCTCCAGCCTCCGAGCTGGTTGGAATATGATTTATCCCCCAATGTTTTCCCTCTTGGGTTCTGTAGTTTTCAGTCGTGTTCCGTCTTGTAGTTACTGCTTGCCCCTTTGTTGCTTCTTCCATTTGTGTTTGCCATCCGCCCCCCTCCCTTACGTGGAACACAAAAAGCACACATACCGTAGCATCCTGGGGAATCATCCCAAGTACAGAGATTTTACCTGCTCCTGCTATACACAAACCAATTTTATATGTGTTCCCCCTCTCTCGTGCGGAAAAGTATCATCTGCCACCCACTGCCAATACTGCTGCACATCATCAATATTATCGCTACCAGAAGCAGCCACAGCAGCCACAGCAGCAACAGCAGCAACAACAGAGCTGCATGCGACAGCAACAAAGACAATTGCAGTGGGAGCAACAGCAACAACAACAACTTCAACACCAACTGGCAAACAGCTCCAGCGAGTTTGACGAGTTCCATTGGCCCAGCAAGCAGCCGCAGCAGGGCAGCAGCACAGCTGGAGGAGGGAAAATCTATATAACACCTGCAGACATTCCGCCGCCGCCCCATCCGCCCCATCAAAGCGGCAACAGTCACCACAATGGCAACAAGAGCAGGCAGCACCACGCTCACCCCCATCCCCATCCGCACCAGCATGGACCATTGACAACGCCGCCACACCGAACACCGCCGCACCGCTGCAAATGTGAGCATCCCAGCATCGAGCTGATGGGCTACGAGGAGGCCGTCATAGCCAGTGCCACCGCCACCAACACCGCGGCCAATGTCACCATGCACCGCCACCAGCATCCGCCCTACTACTACAAGGCGGGAACCCGGCGACCCAGTGGCAAGCTTCACGAGTCCATGCTGGGCGGAGGCAGTAGTCTGGATGATGACGATTTGGCCAGCGCCGGCAGCTTTGGAGACGGAATGTCGCGGTTTAAGGTAAGCCGGGACACGAACACACGAACATTTGGTGGGCCTTGGCTGCTCTTCAATTAAATTGGTTTGTCAACAAGTGTGGCCTGATTGTCGGCAATTTCCATCCAGATGAGCACTTGTGCTAAATACAACAAATACGACAAGGGAGAATATGAACCGCTCCTATTGTTCATACATATATCAATGGTGGGCTGGGACTCTGTGGATGGCCATCAACAAGTGGCAGACTTGATTGTGATAGAAGCCGCAATGTACATTGAGTAGGTATCGTGCCCCTCTATTGCCCCACCCTGATGATAACTCCATCAGACCCAAGCTAATTATTTCCACCCCCTGAGCGCGACTTCTTTATGTACCTCATTTGTTCAACACGTTAAAGTGTGCAAGTGTGTTCTCATTTAGCAAGACAAATAAACCAGTCAGAAGGCAGAGCCTAAGAGCCCCAGGCAAATAAAAATTAATTAATTTTTGGGACAGTTTAATGAAAAAACAAACGGCAAATGGACACACCAGAAAAAAAAGGAAAAAAAAAAACAAGCCCCAAGAAAAACTGGGGAGGAGAGCGACAAAACAAGCCAAGGCCAGACAAAAAGTCATACATTTTTTTGTGGTGTCCCACAGGATATCTGTCGAGAGCCGCAAATAGTTGTCAAGCCCCTCACGTCACGGCGATTATGTCCGAGCGGCAACAAAAGGACACGCCAAAAAAAGGGGAAAACGAGAAGCTTAACAACTATCCGTAACAACATGTGGGCAAAAAAAAGAAGGAACTTTCGAAGCGAGAAAAACTTCAACTAATTGCCGGAAGTCCAGAAAACGATTCCGGCAGAGTTCGGGGTTCTACAGCAAACTCTCTGCTCACACAAACCTTTCAGTTTCATATTTATTAAATGAATCACAAATTGGTTGGGGGATAGCCGAAGGGGCGGGCTTCGGTCAGGTGCGCAGAGGTAAGCTTACTAATTGCGCCATACTGTGCAACGAATTGAATGGAACCCGTAAATCCCAAAACAATCAAGCGAACTGAAAAAATATGGCCATTCTGAATAGAAGAATGGACATTGATATGATGGGATTCGGTCAAGCGTTCTCTCGCTGGATAAATTGATTTTATGGAGCGGTTACGGTAACACGAAATGGGAATGTTGACATACTCTTCCAAGGATATGTGAGCCAGCGCGAGACGGTGCGCAAAAATATAGAATTTTTCATTGTGTCTAAAGCATAAATTCTGCTTCAGACTTAAGTAAAGCATCGTACTTACAGTTCATGGGCTGGTGTCTGGTTATGGTGTTTTTTTTTCTTCCTCATACCCGTGGGAGCCAAAACTTGCCATCGAAAAAGAGTAACATGAATCAAGGAATGGTGAATCGGAAAACAATTTCCATTTTGAATGTATCGCACTAGCCTCAGTTGCCATCAACGGAAACCCTAAAGGTACCATAAATCGTATGTACATATATACGTACATAAGCTCGTACAAAATGCTGCAAAGTTGTAACTTACATGCCTTCCACAATGCCAGTTGCTCCTCCATGGGGCTATATATTATAGACTGTCTGCCAACAGGGATTGAGTGGAGCACGGGGCTTCCTACGTGGTCAATGGGGATTTTCCAAACACGTGTCGTTGGGTTTTGGGTGCCAGGTTTTGGCAGGTCTAAGGAAAATAGGGATTGCGTTTTTGGCTAGCCTCTGTCTGCCCTTTCCTTAGGTTCTTCTATTCTATGTGAGATTACTGGAAATCTCCGATGGAGCACGAGTATTAAAATATTTACACTTTTTGCGGTAATGTGCGATTGTCAAAAGCTGCAACTGGTTTTTCAAGAATGGTTGCTGCTACTGACTTCTATTGTATGTGTCCACAGAGTAGCTAGTGTAAAGCTGCTTGAAACAGATTATTTGTGTACCAGATAAATTCCACTTTCAAGTGACTATAGACCTGGCCATTGCAAATAGTATTGCGCATACGATACATAGAATTTATTTATATAAAATACTCCATCACCAAAATATCACCTTGAACAGACACACAACCCAATCCTGTTAAACGATCAACCAAAACGGTCACGCTCGGAAAGAAAATGACAAAAAAAAACAAAATAAATATATACTCGCATAAAAAGCTCGAATTTTATAACACCTACTCGTACATTATATTAAATAATAAGTAAAAAAAAGCACCGAATGCCCTATCATTTTATATCATTGTCTCTTTGGGGCGCCGACAGCTGAAATTTGTCGTTCGCGCAATGCTAAATTATGTAAAAGAAACTACAAACTTGGCAATCCAAGTCAAAGCTTATTCGATAAGTGAAAAAGCATTTCTGATTTGATTTGCTTACGTCATTCGGCTATTACCCGACCAGGCCAGACCGGGCCAGGCCAGGCCAGTCCAGTCCAGCCGACTGTCCACACCTCTCTCACTCTATACTGTCCAGAGCAGAAACCAGTTGGCGGCGACCCAGTCTGGAGTTGGTTAACTACAAAACTACTTTCATTTTCGCTCTCTGTTTTCTGAATTTTGCTTTCGGGGCTCATTTGTTACCTGCCGCCTTTTCTCTCCCTGTGTACGAGTATTATGCACTTTGCTGGGTTTTCGGCTTTGAGTGGAACTCGGAGATAGAGATGGAGATGGAAAAGAAAAAGAAAAAGTCATTGCGCATGCGCAACCATACTTTCCATACAAGCTCACACAAGCACCAAACATTCGTTTGGACGTGCCTAGGGTCTCTGATTAGCCAGAAAGATTGTATCCAAATTGGCCAAGTGCGCATTTAGTTTCAGGTGGCTTCATTTCTCCCTGCCAACTTGCACTTTTTTGGTTAGCTGAGAAGTCGGCTTATTATGGAAGTCGAAATGGGAATGGAGGAAATGAAACCCACTCTAAATGAAAGCCGATTTCCCTGCATACAGTCGAAGTAGAGGTTAACAAACTCCACACCTAATGGATCGAATGGATCGTGTGATCTGGGTATTCATATTAAACAAAGTTGCTCCCCATTTTAATGGCCACCTGTGCAACCTGAAACCTGAGCAATGGATTTCGATGGATATTTAATGATAGTCAATTTGATCGGTTTTGGATTCCAAATGGGAGACTTCGTATCGCCCTATCTTTATTTTAAGACAAAGATTTCACAATTTTGTGGTACTAATCTCTCTATGCCCCTCCCCGCCCACCACAAAAGAACCTCATGTATTCCAAGGAAAAAAAGCGACGAGTCCGGATCATTCTCAGCATTGTAACAGCTGTCATCGCCGTTGCTCTGCTGGCCACCGCCCTCGTATTTATCCTTAAAACGGACAAGGACAATGGCAGCAACGAGGACAACTCTGGAAGCAATGGAATAGATCTGGAGGATGTGCTGAGCGGTCAATTATATGCCAAGCGCTTCAATGGCAGCTGGAGCAATGGTAACAGTGTGCTCTATAAGGATAATGCGGTAAGTGGGAATAACATCGAAAGCAATTAAACAATATCTACATAGAGTACTCCCAATCGCAGTCCATCATGGAGTACGATGCGAAGACTGGAGTGCGCACCCCGTTGCTCCACAATGCGGCGCAATATGTGCTGTATGAGAAGTCCGCGGACGGGGAGCTTCTGCTTCTGGCCAAGAACTACAAGAAGAACTTCCGGTACAGCTTCCTGGCCGAGTACGACATCTACAACCTCAGCTCGAACCAGTTCCAGCCACTGACCATTCAGAACCAACAGCTCTATCTGAGCATGGTCCAGTGGTCGCCGGTGGGCAATGCTCTCGTCATCAACTACGATCGCAATCTGTACTACAAGAAGAGCGCCCTGGAGCCGGAGATAGCTATCACCAGCGACGAGCAGGCCGGCATCCTTAACGGCATTCCGGATTGGGTGTACGAGGAGGAGGTGTTCAGCTCCAATGTTGCTACCTGGTTCAATCCCTCGGGAACTCAGCTGGCCTTCATTAAGTTCGATGACTCGTCCACGCATCTCATCAATTTCCCCTACTACGGCGATGCTGGGGACCTTCGCTACCAGTATCCCCTGCACCAGGTGATTGCCTATCCCAAGGCGGGTTCCTCGAATCCTCGCGTCGAGCTGGTCATGGTAGATCTGGTGCGTGCGGCGTCCGGAGGGGATTTCATCACTGTCATGCCCGTACCACCTGCTCTGAACACGGAAACGGATTACATTGTCACTGTCGTCAGTTGGGTGGATGATGCACACGTCCTCTCCATCTGGATGAATCGCATTCAAAATGCCGCCTATGTGGTAACCTTCGATGGACTAAATCGGAAAGTGGTGAGTGATTGGCTTGATCGTCTGTCTGTCTTTCTGTCTGTCATGTAACCCTGATTTCGGATAAAGCCCATCGAGAAAGGGCACCCAAATGGTGCTACTCCCAACTGTAACATACTTTCCCTCGCAGATCTACAGCACGGAATCAAAAACTGGATGGGTAGATCTGTACACGGCTCCCTTCCGGAACCGCAATGGATCGCGCCTGGCCGTCGTCCTGCCCCACAACAACTACAAGCACCTGCAGCTGCTCAGCTCAAGTGCAAGCAGCGCGGAGCAGCAGCAGCTGGAGCCGCTGACCGAGGGAAAGTTCGTGGTGGACAGCATTCTCCACTGGGACGCCACCTACGATGTTATCTTCTACACAGCCAACACCGAGGAGCACCCAGAGCAGCTGCATCTGTATGCCATTAGGGCCCAGGCAAAGCAGAACGCCAAGTGCTTGACCTGCAAGCTGATCAAATCGGGTGATGTGGACCAGACCTACTTCTCGGCGACGTTCAATGACAATAACCATTTGGTGCTCACCTCGCTGGGGCCGGGCATACCCACCACCCACCTCTACGAATGGAAATATGTGGACTGTAAGTAGATTGCAGATTGGGTACCCCCGATCCCTTAACATGTTCGAGTATTCCGCTCCAACAGCTCAGGTTGTCATCACGAATGTGCTCGACTGGGAAACTAATGAGGCACTACGCACCAAGCTGAAGGGTGTGGCCCTGCCCACCCACAAGATTCTGACGGTGAACATTGATGGGGGCTTCCAGGCCAAGGTTCTCCTACAGCTGCCTCCCAACTTGGACACCAGCGGCAATACCAAATATCCCATGTTGGTGGATGTGTATGGGGGACCCGACTCGTACTCAGTAAGTTTAAATGAGGGGGAGCACCAACCAATCGCGACTTACACTGTAATCTGTGCTGCTTAGGTAACCAACAAATGGATGCTGGACTGGGGCACTTATCTTACCTCGAACCAGTCGGTGATCTATGCCAAAATTGATGGGCGTGGCTCGGGACTGCGTGGCGAAAGTCTGCTACATGCCATCTACCTTCAGTTGGGCACTGTAGAGATCAGTGATCAGATCACGGTTACGCAGTAAGTTCTTTCGCGAAGAACCCTCAGGTATCTCGCTCATCTCTGGCTCACAAATACCCCCAATCTGCAGGAACCTCACCCAACTTTTTAACTACATTGATCGCGACCATATCGGTATTTGGGGATGGTCATATGGGGGCTACGCGGCGGCCATGGCGCTGGCCAATGATGGAGATGAAGTGTTCAAGTGTGCAGCTTCCATAGCTCCGGTCACAGACTGGGCCTACTACGGTGGGTGAACTTCATCCCTCAATCTTTGTGATCCCATTCAAAACAAACTCCTCTTCATTGGCAGATTCCATTTATACGGAGCGTTATATGTCCTTGCCCAATACCAATGAGGTGGGCTATGCCAACTCCAGGCTGAGCACACGGGCCCAGAAGTTGAGGGGCAAGAAATATCTGCTCGTCCATGGAACACTCGATGACAATGTGCACTACCAGCAGGCCATGATCCTGGCCAAGAACCTGGAGCGTCACGATATACTCTTCAAGCAGATTGTAAGTAGCCTTCTACGTATGTATATATATACATATACGAGAAAGTACCCTCGAACTATTCGAACAGATCTCGTAAAATATATCTATATTATGAATATACCTTGCAGAGCTATGCTGATGAGGATCATGGTCTGTCTAATGTGCGTCCGCATTTGTATCATTCATTGGATCGCTTCTTTGGCGAGTGCTTTGCCAGCAGTCGGCTTATGAAAAGTGCTAAATAAACAATGCAAAAATGCAAAAATGCAATAATATAAAATAAAGGTAATATACTCGTAATAGAACAGAAATAATACATAGGTATTAATATCAGATCCTGAATAGCTAAGCCCACAACAGATTGAAGCAGAACATAATCAAATAATAGCAAATGATTAACTAAGCCAAAAATTGGTACTTAAAGAGTTATTAGATTTCTGCTTGAATTCAAAAAATAAAACACAACAACATTAAACAAAAGTAAACAGTTCAATATGTTGGAAAAACAAAAATTTAATGCAGGTCCAAAAGTGTTATAAGATAACTTGGAACAATAATAATGATATTTCGAAATTGAATTTTAAGAAATTTTAAACCAAATGAAAACGAGATTCATGCTACATATACATACATACATGTTTAAATGTAGTAGTGTAGAGCGCAATGCATTTTCTAGCTAGTGCCTGATTATAATGCTTAAAAACATACATAAATATATAATGTAGATATTGCAATCACAACTATAAAAAAAATTAAACGTGTATTCAACGAAACTTTGCAGGCGCTCCGCTCCGTTTAACGCTTTGCGATTCCAAGTAGGTCAAAATTTTGCTTGATGAAACTATTCCTACAAATTGAAAACCAGAAATAGAAGTAGTTTGTAACATTTTATAGTTTTTTAGTTTGCTACTTGTATAAAAACAAAGTTAAAGAACTTGTAAATATTTAAATAAATAGTTGTTTAATGGCTTTTTGTAAATTAGAAGGAAACTTATTGTGTATAGGCAACAGTTAAAAGGCAAGCAAGCAATAAAAATAAATAAATATATTTAAATGGATTTTTTAATGTGTCTTTGTTTGGCATATCCCATCGAGACAATACGGAAGGGCAAGGGTCCGTTTTGTTTCGTTAAAACTTAGAGTAACACTCCAAAACCATAAATTACCCTTTACTGTCCATAGTGTAGCGCGAAATAACAAAAATTCAATGACATTTAACTTTCAGTACACCGGGTCGCTTTATTTCCTTAGCCCCGAAAACCGGGTTACATCAATATGTTTGCTTGTGGATAGGACGCACACGCGTCGATCTTTTACATTTGTAATCCTAAGGGTTCCTTTCTGCCTTAACAGTTTCAAAAAATCGCATTACAATATTTGGGAATTTGTTCGGTTTTTTCTAAAGTGAAGTTGATATACTCGTATAATACAATTGATTACGTTTCTATACGTTCTGTTCTGCTGTTTGATCTGCAACTGGACCATAAATAATGCACCTTAAATGGTTATTCAGAATGTGCAGATGGCTAGATCGAAGATCGCAAACTAATTTTTATATTTATCGGTACATATTCATATGGTACAAAAATAAACTGTCAATTTTATAAACTAGTTAATTGAATGTTTTCCATTTCGTTCTGTAAATTTTAATTTAATATTTTCAATTGAAAATACTTTCCTACTTGTCGTAGAATATATCTAATATATATACAAGTCTAAAAATTGTATTCATTATATTCTATGTTCTATATTTGATCAGATTTAGTAGGTATACTTAGATATATATTTGATATAATATGTGTATGTACAGCATATGCATTGGACTTTCCCAAAATGTGTAGGTTTCAGTGGGTTTCTCTAGCGAGAAAAAATGTGAATCTTAACAAAATTATACATGTACGAGTATTTGGTAAGTCTTATAACAGACTAACCATCTTGTATTGCTGGATTTTTTTTAAATTACCGATTTAAAGCTATGAACAGCGTTAAAACCGATTGCATCTCTCGCCAACACATTTTGGGAGTTTCCAATGGCTAAAACTTACATAATATTACTTAGAATCTCTATTAGCTCTATATATGTATGTATTTATTTTGGATTAATTTTACTGGATATAAACTTCTTGGACAACTTCATGTTGCTGCTGTTGCTGCGAATCATGGAGATCCTCCTGCAATTGCAGTTGATGATGATGCTGCTCCTCGATTACCCCACCATCGTACTCGATCAACTGATCATCCTCCGTCTGCTGATTATGATCGATATTCATCTGCTCCTGTTCCAGCTGATGATGATCCACCAGCTGCTCCTCCTGATGGTAGTGGATGTGATGCGGATGATGAGTGAAAACGAGAGGTGGCGGCGTCGTTGGCGTTGCTATGTGCTGGATCGGCTCGTGCATGGCTGTCGTGCTGGTCGATGTCGATGCTGTGGCGGTGGTCGTTGTCTGGTGGTAAGCCGATTGTTGGTTCCGTACAATATGACCAGCGGCGGTGACACTGGTGACGCTGGCGCGCTGATTGGTTCGCGTCAACGTAACCGTCACCTCAGAGCCCAAACCGGCAAACGAGACAGCTGGCGTGGATGTAGATGTTCCAGAAGCAGTCGAGGAGGATGCAGTTGCTCCTCCCCCAGCTGCTGCTGCTGCTGACGCCGCTGCTCCTGCCGTGGCTCTGGCCTGGAGAATTTTACGAGTGGGCAATTGGGACGTGCTTTGGTTGGAGCCAGCCGATGTAGATGCTGCTCCCGATCCAGTTTGGGATCCCGACTGGGGCACGTAGTTGATGAGCAGAACACGTTCGCCGCTGGTTGTCTGCGCTGCATGACCGCGCAGTATGCGACGCTGCAGTGTTCCTCCGCTGGAAGATGCTGATGCTGCTGAAGATGTTGCTGCTGCTGTCGATGGTGTGTTGCATCTGCTGTTGCTGCTCACTGTTGTTGCCGTTGTTGCCGTTGCACTACTGTGCGCCGGCTGCCCACTCCCTCCGCCTCCTCCAGGGCCGCTGGTCATATCGTTGGATCATCATTACGTATTGTTACCGCCTTTCAAAATGAAAACTTTCTTTACCAAAATGTTCTTATTGTTGCCCTGTTTGTTTGATTGATTGATTGGTTGATTTGTTGATGGATTGGATGGCATGAACAGTTTTTATACACACAGATTTCGATTTTGATTTTGATTTGGTTAGATGGTGAGTTATTAACGAGGCAGCGAGAAAGAGAGAAGAAGACAAGATAAAACGATTCGTTAATGATCTGGTTATGTGTTATGAGGAGTTGTTGCGTGGGGTGGTGCTTGGTGCTTGATTGGTCAAGTTAGTCACCAATCGTTTGGTATGATTACGAGTATGCAGACATAGAAATTCCGTTCAATCAGTAGTTCTTTGGGTTAAACTTAACGAGTAGCGTGCAAAAATAAAATCAGTTAGAAAACACATGCCCTATATTAAAAATGAAGCAAAAAATAAAAATAAAGAAAAATAAAGTAGAAATTCTCCATCACCTAAACTAATACTCAACATAAAAAAATACTTTGTGAAAATTTTGTGTTTTTTTAAACAGTTTTTGGTTTATTTTCTTGTTTTTTTTTCTCTTGTTTAAATAAAATTAAATTTTATTTAAGTATTTAAAAAGACTAAAAATAGGTTTACAATATTCAGATAGATGGAACACTCTCGTGGCTCTCAAATTTACACAATTAAATCATAATTTCAGGAGATACTCCATCTATCTGAACGAGCTCTGGGTGGGGTCTAAGGTTCAAGAAAAATATTCATTATTAAAGTTAGGAAATATATGAAAGGTATACTATATAAAAAATTGGTTGGGTTTAAGATTACAATAAGAGCGGGTAGTTCTTAATCAAAGAAAAGCCAAAGCATATTGATTGGTTGATTGACTTGGGATGGTGGAGCAGACACACACACGATTGGGGCATCGGATTGAGCGAGCTCTTATATAAGGATATTCTCTCTTTAGATGATTAATTAAAGATCTTTATGCTATCTATGTAAATACAGTACGAATATTTAACTAAATTGGTTTAAAGCCAAGGTGCTACTGCTCAAGGACAGGCGGAGCTTGCGCTGGCGCTGAGCAGGAGAACCTTATGAGAGACACACACAACAATTTTGAAGATTTTCCTGATCCCAACGGCGGTTTCAGGGGATTTCAGAGTGTGACTAACGTACCTCTAGCATTGGGACGCGGGTCAAACTATCCAGAATTAATATAGCAATATGCAGATAACCATATCCGATAACCATAGCGCACTTAAACATAAATCTAGCAACAAAACTAAATAGGTATGTGTAGGTAGAGCGAAATCAACATTTAAGGTCATAGAATTGTACAACAAAATGGTAATAACTAGAGGCTCCCAGTGGATGGCAAGAGCCGTGACAAACCCGCCCCGACCATCCACCAAGAGCCAGTTTTCATTTTCCCTTCGTTTAGAATTTAACTACGCAAGCAGTTGTTTATATACGAGTAGAACAGATTATAATAGATTCTACTTTTCGGTCTGGTCCGATCAGAGCGTCTGTTGGGGTTGTGTTTGCTGTTGTGGTGGCTGCTGTTGTTGCTGCTGTTGTTGGAAATCAGTCATATTCACCTGGTTCAAGTTGCCTATGATCTGATGACCCTGCAGCGTCTGCACCTGGGCAATCGACATCGACGCCCCACTCTCGCTGCCGTCCGCCGCTTGGGCAACCAGCTGCTGCTGACCCGCCGCCTGTTGCTGCACTGCCGCCGCCTGAGCACTCGTCGTGGCCGTTGTTATATTGCCGGACGAGTCTATGATCTGATGATGCTGCAGCTGTTGTTGCACCTGAACCTGCTGCTGCTGTTGCTGCACTTGTCCTCCCGACGAGGTGGTGGTCACTGTCATTGTCTGTTGTTGCTGTTGCTGCTGTTGTTGTTGCTGCTGTTGCTGCTGCTGCTGTTGCTGCTGCTGTTGTTGCTGGGCATCGGGATCTTTCTTCACCTGCACACCTTGCAGCGTGTGAAGGGACTGAACCGTCTGTACCTGGGGCACTCCTCCTCCACTCGAGCTCAGCGCTGCACTCCCGCCCGAACCAGAGCCCGATCCCGAGCCCGAGCCGGATGTGCCGCTGCCCGACTTCTTGCCACTGGATGCTGAAAGGAAGGCAGAACGAATAGCAGGTGAGCAGATTGGCTTTGCTTTTGCCTATAACTACTGAAAGGCGAATAGAAAAGATTAGGCTACAGACATGGGGGTCGACAGTGCGGGCTCTTTCTCTGAGACTACAACAACGCGACCTTCAAGAGCTACAACAAGTAGGTGAAAGATGTACAAGTATGTTTTGTGTTTGTGTAGATATGGATGTGTGTGGGATTAGTGTTAGGAACGTTGCATCAGATAGATTGTGGCATTAGACAAACACACAACTATGGTTAAATGTCAAGAATAGGTTAGTAAAAAGATGCAGAAATGGAAACATTTACAAGGCGGATCCAAAATGTAAAATGTCAAATAAATCAAAAATAAACAAAACAAATTTAATATATGAAAATACATCGAGCACAGAGGATGAAAAATTCTTCAAATTCTTTTTAAGTTTATCGGGTTAGGAAAAGAATAGTTAGGGATCATAGAAAACAGTATTTTCTTGCACAAACAACAAAAGCCAATGGGAAAAAAACGTAGCATTGCACACAAAAAATGAAGTCCGTGCCACAGGCAGTGATTAATTTTGTTTGTTATATAAAAAAATATATAATATTTTATTAATTAAACAATTGGTTATATAATAGTTAAAAAAGAGCAGCTTAAACTGATTTCGATCTGCGATTGTGGTTGTACAGGTATCTTTACAACAAATATATTTGCGACACTAATTACAATTATTTAAGTAAATTAAATCGAGTATTTTTTGAAATTCTCCTCTCTTTATCTTTCTATTGTAATATGCAAGAAAATAGTGCATACTATTTTTCGGTTAAGGAATGGAATTTGGAAAAGCTTGGCAAATAAAAACTTACGCAGTAATAGGGGGTAAAACAAAATTAAACGGGATATGAAGACAAATCGGATCAGATCACGGGGATTTTTGCTTTTGGTGTTATTTACAAAACGTTTGTGTATGCGTGTGCGAGTGTACATGTGGATGAGTGTGCATTGTGTATGTGTGTGGGTGGGTGGAATGATGAAAGGCGCGACAGGCGGCAGGTGGCAGTAATCTGGATGCTGCTACTGCTGCTGCTGCGGCATGAACACCTGATCGCCCACAATGTGTATGACGTTCTGCATGCCCTGCTGCGCCTGCTGCTGCGCACCGCCGGCCCCACTGCCACCCTCGTGCTTTATATTAACGCCCATAATGTGTGTTTGGCCTCCACCCGCCATTGTTGACGTGGACATGTGCTGCTGCGCTTGATGGTGCTGTTGCTGCAATTGTTGCTGCTGTTGCTGTTGCGGGGGAAGCACACTCTGCGCCAGGATGGTGGCCGATCCGGAGACAGACGCGTTCGATATCACTCTCGTTGGCGTCATGCCCGCTTCTGTTGATCCTTCGCCCACAGTAGTGTCGCCCTCTGTTGTGGTGTTCAGCTCGGCGCTGGTGTCTAGTGTCGAATCATTACCGGACTTACTTTTCTTCTCCTTCTTCACCCCGGGCTTGGCAAAGTGCCGCAGCTCGAGATGGCGCCGCAGGTTACGCGACTGACGTATGACGGCATAGCAAATGGGGCATGTAGCAGGTTGTTCCGATTGAGAGCGAGAACGAGGTTCTGTGAACGGAAACGGAAAGGATGGCTTTAGAATAAAGAATGTCTTATCGACTGGATGCTCAGACTCACTTTCTGTCCCGGGCGGGTGTTTGGTTCGCTTGGCCTTTGGCGTGGACGGCGTGCCGCTTGTATTACCTCCGGACGAGCCCGTGGTGCCTGTTGCCGTCGTGATTTCGCCTGTGGTCGCATTTGCCGACGTTACCGGTATCATGTTGTTCGGATCCATAGTCACAATCGTCTCCACCTTCTGCCCTTCGCTTTTGATGATGGGCGTGGACGTGAGCAGCTGGCCCTCGGCTCCGTTCTCGCCGAGAACTTGCTGCTGTTGCACCACTCCACCGCCGCCGTGGGATGAGGTCGGTGTGCCCATAATCGTATCCATTCCCTCAACTTTGCTGATTTTCGGAGCCGTAGCTAAGGTGGAAAGATTTGTTTATGAAATCTATGTCACTTGTCCACTGATTACACTTACGTGACATTTTCTTGACCCTGGGTTTCCGTTTGCGTGCCGGCAGGAAGGCCTGAATTACCGCCTGGTCGTGCTTAGCCGCATCCGTAGTCACAATCGTTTGCTGTTGTCCCGCTGCGTTGGTCTGGGTGGTCGCCTGCAGGATCTGTCCCTGGTGGTGAATGTCCTCGACAACCTGGGCATGCACTGTCTGCTGGGGGGCCGTGGCAATGGTCGCTATCAACTGGTCCTGGTCGTGGTGTTGGGGTATCATGTGCTGCAGCTGGATCGAGTGCGTGGTGTAGTCGTCCTTGGTGACAGTTTGAGGCGCCAGTCCCTGGATATTCAGGCACTGGGCAGCCTGCAACAGAGAGGGCAGTTGGGCATGGTCGACGCTCACTTCGCCACGGTAGACGAACTCAAGCAGTGCCTCCAAGTCGTTGGCATTGACGCCGGCCAGCATTACCACAGGGTGTTTGCATGGTGTATTCTATGAAATATAAAACATATCAGCAAAAGCAAATGCAAATTATAATTATAATCGTAGTCGCACCAAAAAAAATGTGAATAATAACATGGTTAAGAGATAGTGGTTACAAATAAAAATCTTAGTAAATCAATGCCAACAAAATTGTTGCATTTGAATGGTGGTTTGAGCGCGTCAAGTGCGTGCGGAAAGACACAGGCGAGACCAAACCGAAACAAAAACAAAAACACAACAACGCGCTCATACTCTCACAGAAACTCAAGAAGAGACATCCACTCTCTACTCACTCACACATAAGAAAACCAACCGGCTTTTACTTTTCCCGCTCTGCACATTCTGCAGCAGGATTGGGGGAGATAGGACGTGGAGATGCTGACGAAAGAAAACAGAGCTCCAAAGAGCGCACTCCTCTGCCTCTCACTCTCCCGTTTAATTCGACACGTTTAATTAGTAAACGCTGCTCAAAGTCGAGCCTTACACACAGAGCAAACCCAATGCCATCTCTTTAAATGTCATTCACTGCTCCCGCTCCCGCTCCCACTCCCACTCCACGATGCGCTCTTTGAACTCTACACTCCCTTCTGCTTCTGCTGCTCTTGTGGCCGATGCCTCTCCTCTCCCTGCCACGTTACCCACCACCATTCCATTCCACATGCTCATCGATTTTTCTCAGTTGCATTTCACTGCGAGGGAGCGGGAGCAACAAAGAGAAACCTCCATGTGTTCTGCCCGCGTGTGTGAGTGTAACGAGATCAGTACGCCGCACATCTCGCTGGCGGCCGACGGATTTTGGACTCTTGCAGAGTTCACAGCAACAATAAGAGCAGCATTTTGACATTTCCCCGCCGTCGACTCTGACTCTGAGCGTCGTTTTTAAAAATTACGCTCTGTTTACTTTTTTCACTGATGCCGGCGTCAGGTGTTTGGCCGCCAGCGCTCTGTTTTGGTCATCCGTATGATAAGAGGAAGCAATGGTCCCATACTATCTGATTCGACTGAATAGCGGGGAATGCCCCAACAGAAATGCATATGCTTAGTGATTGTATACGTTAATGTAATTTTCTATACAAACTACAACAGATGGAGGAAAAACCTATATAATCCCTCCATATATACATAATTTGAAAAACATGGCCCCACTTTTGAACAATCCCCCATCGCCAGGTTCAACTGTACATTCAGCCAGCAGCAACAGAAAAGAGGTCGCGCTCGTGTGCACCCAACAACAGCAAAAGCTCCAACAACCAAAGCAACACTCTGGCAGCATTCGCCTCGTTGCTTCGATGCTGTTGGCGCTCTCGCTTGCTCTCGCTCTAACACATTCGAACAGAAAGTTGGCGCAGCAGCTTTTTCTGCTTTGAACGACTGGTTCTCTCGCTCTCTCACACTCTCTCTATCACTCTGCCTCTCACTGTCCTCTCGCTCTCTCAAATGTACTAACTTTATAGAAAAAAAATATTAAAAAAACAGAAAAGTTGATAAGAAGCAGGGTAGAAACAAGAACTGAGAGGGGGTCAGAAAGTGGGGAGAAATGAGAACTGTTAAGGGGGCCAGAAAGAGGTCTGGTCTGTGTGGGGCATTGGCAACGTCGGCGACGGCGCAGAGTGCGCAACTCATTCAACTCAATTGACAGTGGAAAACTTGTACCAAAATCTCTGAACAGAAAGTATGAGACGGAGAATTGTATTTTTGGAGCAGAGAAGAGCAGAGCAGGGAAGAGCGAATGCTCTGCCATCTGTAAGTGTGTGCATGTGTGTGTGTGTGTGTGTGAGTAAGTTTCTCTGAATGCTTTTTGTGGGAGCCGCGCTCCAAACATTAACCTATTTTTGCGATGGGTTTCTCTGTTTACAAACTGTACGCGAGTCAAAATCTCAGACTGGCCACGTTTGAGGTTATGTTGCCCCAACTCCACACAACTCTCTCTCTCACAGTCTCAACACACTACTCTGACTTACCTTTAGCAAATCCAGGAGGAACGGCGAGGCGGCACAGAGCACTATTTTGTGGGCCGGAAAACTGCGTCCCCCGGCGGCCAGAGTGCAATCGACAAGGTCGCCATGGCAGCGCAACAATTGTATGGCCGATACCAGGCTCGTGCCGTAATCGCCCCAGGTCAGCGAGTACAGCGAATTCATTGGCAACGACATCAGGGCTGTCGTGTCCAAGTCCAACAATTGTTGTTCCTCTCCAGCGTTGTGGTTGTATTCACTGCTGTTTGTCTCCAACACGACGGCTGTTCACTCAGCGATGGGAGGAAAAGTGGGGGCGAAGAAAAAGTGTTTCGTACAGGATTCGCGAATCCTGAAATCCCTATCCCTCCTCACGGCGCTTTCACGAAACTGAAAAAATGTAAAGAGTAACCAGATGTTAGTGTAACTTTTAGACACGACTCGTGTGCTCTCGCTCTCTCGCGAGAGTTGGAGCCCTCGTGAGAGCGAGACAACTCATGTGTGAGCGCTCACAAGAATTTGTTTTTGGGCAACCCCCCCACCCAACCAACAAACCGACCGACCAACCCGACCGCCATAAAGCATGACTTTTTCGACGTGGGGAGAAAAATTGTTTCAAATTTTGTTGCTGGGAAAATCACACAAAAATAGCGCGCCAACACACGAAAATACCCATTGAATACGGCACAGACACTCGCGCAGCACACACAAACACACGCACACAACACAACACACATATACGTTTATCCACAATTGTACAGTCGAGCCCTGAGCCACGCATTTCGTTTTTTCTCGCCATCTACTCTCCGTTTTTAATGTTTTATAACAAACGTTCGTTTCATCGCATTGCATTGCTAGTGTCTCTTGGTCTTATTTTTGTTAATTTTTTCCCGCTCCCGGAGCGCACACTTTTTTGCTGAAATTATCTTCTCACCGGAGCGCAAAGAAAATCTGCCCGTCTGCAGTTGGTGCTTTCCCCTCTCGTTCACTTCTCACTTCTCCTGACTCTTGATTTTCTATTTCTTTCTGTTCTTTTTAACTGTCCACTCGCCAACTGAAAAACTCGCAATGAGCTCTGCTGAGTAAATCGCTTCGATCGAATTACGTTTTCTGCTCTGTTGCTGCCAGCGCGGCGACTTTTCTGTCCTGTCTCTATACGGGGGAGAAAATATTTTCTGGTCATGCGCTCAATACATGCACACGCTGTGCTGGTGGTGGTGGGTTCCATGGTAGAATTGTTCGTAAGGTGTGGCCGACTCAGCGTGTGTTTCATGATATTAGTGATGTTGCTGGTGCTGTGTCATGATGCAACTATAAATAGTTAGGCCAGCTGAAGAGCGGCATGGACGAACCTTGCCTTGTCATGCCATGGGCTGTGCATCTGTGTGAGCACTGGCTGGCAACGCTCTTGAAGTACAGTTGTCAAACGGCATTGCCAGATGCGAGCGGACTTAAGTGAAACGTTCACTAAAGAAGAGTATTTTTAGGCAGGGAGCGGAGCAAGATAGTAAACAAAACTATAAAAGGTGGTAAATATTAAATAATGGAAATACTGTTTCCCTGCAGCACACAGAAGGCGTGGAAACAGCTGTGCAGCAACAATTTTTTTTGGATACAAATATGAGAATATATGTTGGGGTCAGATTCAGAAATAGTAATGATAAATATATGAACTATTCGTTTCATGATTTACAAAAATAAATAAATAATTTCAATTTTAAATATGAATCCGCCCGCTCTTTAATATCCGATGGATGCCAGAACGCTAAATATCAACAGATCCTGTAAACAATAATAACCACTATCCGAGAGAAAAGCCGGCTCGGCTCGCTCTTACGCCCTCTGCATTCTCTTTTTCTCCTTCCCAATCACCTGTTACTTTTGACATATCTCAGAGATAGCTCTGACCCTATTTTTATATGCAGATCAAGTCCCGCTTAAGAGCAGAGACCGCGTTCCGTTGTTTTGGTTTTCAACGACAGGCAGGCTGTGGAGACACAAGGAGAGGAGAGTCGAGTAGAGTAACATTCAGTACCAGGGAGAGTTCTATCCATTCTGTCCACCTCTCAGAGACCAGAGTTTTGTTTTGTCTCTGAGTGCGCTGAGAAGCAGTAGAATAAGTGAGCACCCACCCGAAAAAAACGCAGCGACAGCAACGGCGCGGCGCGAATACAAGATTACACTTTTCTCTGTTTTGATGCTGTTTGTGGCGAGACCATGAGAAAATGAGAAAGCTGCACCCTGGGCAAAATAACCTTTTTTTTGGCAAGGAGTAAAAAAAAATTATTTTCTAGATCTTTAATTAAGACCTTTAATTAGGAGAAAAATGGATACAATTTTCTTTGGGCGCATAATAAATGTTAGGCATACTAACCGAATTTATGCCAAACAATTCACATTTTGACCACTGTGCGCTGTTTTTAGTGCCTTTAACGTTCCAATCAGCATTTAAAGTGAGCGTATTTTACAGCTGGCAATGCTACGCTGCCAGAGAGGGAGAGCATAGCGAGGAGTGAGTTGTTGGTGTTGGTGCTTGGTTGCGAACAGCATGGAGAGGGAAGTAGAATGAGCGTGTGCAGAGGACAGTGGGCCACATTTGATTCTTAATATGCTTACAAGTTCACATTCTGCTCTGTTCTTGGTGAAATTTGAATAAAGGGCTTTATCTCTCTTTACAATATACAATTCGCATGCAAAAAGGCCTCTGTTATGTTTAACAGAGATTTATCTATAACCAAATCGGGCTGCCAAATTTTTCCGGTCCATTTTAGAGGTTGGTTTAAATAAAAATTATTTATAAAAAGGGCACAAGCTCAATTGCACTGGCAATGGTATCAAATCTATGTCAATGCATCAATAAGTCATCTAACTATTTCCTTATGCAGGAATTCGGCGAGGAATTTGTTGCCTAACTTTCCGTTTTGGAAAATTAAATCGGAATTTTTTTTGCGAAAGTGAAAACCGGAGCCGGGGCCTGAATGTAATTCAAAAAACAAGAATGATACTGGACCCACTGTACGACTGCTCGACGGACTAAAATTCGAACGGCACGCCTTCGGCTGGCCTTCCCCGCAACGCCACGCCACTCCGACCGCTTATCGATGTTGCTGCTTCTATTTAAAACAGAACCAAAAACCAAAAAATAACGAGCCCAAAACATGAAGAATTCAGCACAAATTTGTTGAAAACAAATGCATATGTATATTGCGGTGGCTCCGCCTGAGTGTGTTCGTCTAGGTCTGCATGGGTATTAGTAGTGGGTCATTAAATTATAACCGCAATTGGCAGGCCAACGCATCACTAATTAATTTAACAAAACTCTAGTCTTTGCCTCCTTTCCCACTGAAGCTCCGAACGGAATGGACTGGAACACACCACATCACCCTGGCCTGCATGCCGTAAATGAAGTTAACATGTGCACAGCAACACACTCTTAAACCAGAGACAGGCAGACAGGGCAGTGCTCCTGCTCTTCTCTGCTCTGAGCAAGACAACGAAATGCGGAGAGGAGAGGTTAGAGAGTGAGAGGAGAGAGTTATCTGTTGCCACTCACTTTACTTGCTGGGATTGCACCAGGCCACCGTTTGATAGGTTATTCCTTCACCTCTCTTCTCATAAGCAAACATGCAGCTCTTGTTCACAATCACCGAGAGACGGACCTTGGCAATCCAGTCCAAAGGCCTTATCAGTGAGGTATTCTGTACAATCACGATGTGCGAGGCATGGTAGATAAGGGGATCTCCGGGATAGACTAGAAAATCTGCGCCAAATGCTTCGCCAGAAGTTACGAACTTGCCCCGCAGCCAGAGGTCCCGAAATATTCGGTACCTGATGCAACCGGTGTCCACAAGTGGTCCAGGAACGATTTGCGCAGCTGTTGCAAACGAATTAGTAGTTACAGGACTTAAGATCTTTGGACAAAACCTACTGTGCTTGCTTAGGTGTTCGCAGGGAACTTCCACCAGGGCATTCTGTAGATCGAACTTGAAATTGTCTGCCACTTCCTTAAGCACATCGTCACCGACTAAGGCAGCAGCTGCGGGGTGGAATTGGGGATGGAATACAGATACATATACTAGTTCGTACAACTACCTTTTGTAGCCAGACCCTGCTTTAACAACTTGTTGCGCTTTCCAAGCAGAATCTTTTCCATATAACGCTCGGTCTCTCGTAGTTTCTCCGCCTTCAGGGCATCCGCCTGACCCTCCAAACGCTCATCAAGGTCGGATCTATATTCAGTCAGCTCTTTTGGCGTAGGAGATGCACTGAATGCTTTCGATTTGTTGACCAGCAGAGCTAAGCCCTCGTCCAGGATCAATTGTGTCTCGAATTTCGTCAATTCTACGGGAAGAGCTGTAAAGAAGAGTGTGTCTGTTCAAATGCAATGTTTGTATGGAAACACAAAGTAATGCCCACTGGACTGATCTGGGCACCAGCCTTTGGTGTTGGCCGTGCCCACGAGTGCACCCATTAGTCGATGCTTGGTTCGCAGCTCCATGTAATCTAAGAAATTGCGGGATGTAAGTTGGTTGCCATGATGTGTGAGCTGTATTTCTGCTTACCGTCCACACTGAAAACATAGCCAGTTCCGTTTAATAGAGTTAAATACATTTTTTCACGCAATTTTATTATTATGCCTGTTTACACTACTGTTGGGCTATTAAGTTATTGCGTTTTTACAGTTCTTGCAGTTTTTTTTTACATAGGTTTAGCATAGGAGCGTAGTGGTGGCAAAAAGTTGAGTTATGGTTGCGTTTCAGCTGCGTTTGTTCGATTTTCCGATCAATCCTGTTCGCCTATCGTGTGAACTATCACCACCAGCAATAACAAAAAACATATGTTGTTTAAAATGGAGGGAAGTTCAAATATTCCATTTTCCATTCCTTCAGAATACCAATATTTAACCAATATTATCATTAGATACGAGTAAGTGATATGTCCAAAATTATTAGCACACATTATTTCCCTTATTTTTTGGCTATAATAACTTTTTAGAAGTGAACTGGCCAAGGTTTGACCTTCAGGTGGCAGCCCATCGACATGGGAGCATTTCGAGAAGATCGCTTATATATTGCAATCTTCAAAATCCCTCGATGCATGAATAATTTAAATAATGAATACGTAGGATTAAATAAATACTTTCTTTGCAGACTTTAACATGTTCGATATGGTATTCGACCCCGAAACTTCGGATAAATCGGACATAAACAGTGCCTCGATGAGTGACTACTCAACGAAGGTGCCTTCTGAACCCAAGCCAAAGCGTCGTCGTGTCGACCACATCGAAAAAATAGTGGAAATAGAAGAAAAGAAGCTTAAAGTGATGAAAAATATGGCAGATGAAGCTGCCGAATTTTATACTAGAGTTTTTGAGCTCTTTAAAAAAAATAATTGAACTTTTCCTTTTAGTTTTTATTCATAAGTATTCATAAAGTGTACCGCTAAAGCGTGCCGTATAGATTCCGCCCTTATATTGGAATTTCCAACCCATTATTTATTTAAAGGTTGCTCGTTGTTGGTCTCTGCTTCGCGCTGCCAGTTTTCAGAAAGTGGACAGTTCTGCATTATGCAAAAATTTTGGAGAATACAGCAACAGGCAATCCTCCTGAAAGGAGCCTTAAGGTGGCCGAAGTCATTTTCAACCACACGGCTCGCCTTGGACAAATTATAATTAAATGTTATCTGTTCTGGAGTAGCCTCCACTGAAAACGGATACGGCTTCATTACATTCTTGGCGAACTTAAATGCCGAATCTCCTATAATTATAATTAGCACTGGCACTTCCACAGCACTCATCGTTCTGGAATTTTCCTCGGGTAGATTCGACTCAACCAAACAATTTCAACAAGCCGCCGCTCCAATTTTTAAATTAAAAAAAAAAAAGTTGATATTCCTTTGCTTCCTTTGAAAATAAAGAAATCTAATATCATTACAAATAACAAAAACCGCACGAATTTCTAAAAGATTTCAAAATATCAGCGAGGGCTTGCTAGCACGTATCTATTATTATGTACAAAAAACAATAAATATATTCATTTTTTAATTGTAAAAATAAATTAATAATGTTATAAATATTTTATACTGTATATATATATATTTATAATTATATGAAATTTCTCCCATTTAAAATAAAATTTCCAATTCGATTTTTCCCAATTCCAAACGGTATTGGAATTATAAAAATCCAACTGGAGCTAATTTTATAACGCAAAAATGGGTAAAATGGCTCTAAACTAGAGAAGGGCTTCGTTATGGCGATATCGACACTGTATCGATACAGAAATGAAAAAATATCAGGCAGGCACCAATATTTGGCGAGGCTGGATTCGATGTTTCTTTCTTTCTTTCTAGAGGTGTCAAACCATCGAGAGCACTATCGATAGTATCGAGCAACAGTTGTTGCGCTTTTAATATGTTTGGATTGGATTTTATCCTAGATTGACATGTTTTTCACCTATTAATGCATATGTTTTGTGTTTTATAAATACATTTATCCCGGTTCTGATACCTATTATTGGTAGTAGGAACCCTATTATGGTACCCGTGAGCTGCAAAATTTCGTTAATATCTTTAAAACAGAGACTGAGTAGTTTCTGCATTAATTGGAGCCTAAGATTACAAACATTATCTCTATTCGGTAATATCCATTTTTCCAAGGTATGAAGATTGTGGCTCATTCCGTGCCAAAGTTGCAGAACAATGCTGCCTATTCATTTCCCCATGTTTCTGAACAATGTCTTGATTTTAATGAACAATACCTTAAACGATGCCTAATTAATGCGTCTATCAAAAACTAAAAATGCATGCCAAGAATTATTTTTTTTTCTACTTTTCCCGAGTTTTTAAAGTCAAAATTTAGCTGCATTTGTCAGCTTTTCAAAGTTCTTTGCTACCAGATATAATATTATTAAGTTATGTGAAAAATAGAAGCACTACCTCTGAAAAAAACCATGATAAAGATTTTAAAAATTCTTAAAAAAAAAATTAAACTTTCAAAATAAACCATAATTCGCTAAAAAAAAATGTTAAACCCCAAAATTTATAAGAAAAAGTCATTTTGGGCCACAGCCTAAATGTCGTGTTGACTAGTGTAATCAGCACCAACAATAAAAAATGGTTGAAATTTTGGTACAGTTTCAGTATTTATTAGTAAAAGGGAATTATTTTCATTTTAAGCCAATTAGTTGAGGAGACAACCCGTCGGAAAATGTCGCGTGCGTCAAAAATTAGCCTTAGATAGGATACCTTTTAGCCTTTGGAATGTCAACAGCTACAAGCTGGAGAGATTCGGAGAATTTCTACCTCCACGGGCAATTTTTACTATTATTTTAAGCTACTACTTGCTTAAATTTTACATGTATTTGATAAACAATTGTTTGGTTAAAAAATGAGCCAAACGAAGCACATTCTAGCGTTCCTATTTTTAGAAAACTTTATTTTTGTGATCAGAGAAAGTTAGGTATTAAAGTGAGATCTTGTTAAATTTGAGAATCGTACATTTATATTTATCTTGGGAGTCCGCCAGATTCATTTGGCCAGACGGCCTATCATCAATAATAATATTTTCTTTTTGTACCCAAAAATACTTTTCGATATAAAAAGTGCCGAATATTTTTCTTCACAAGTCCGCCGAGTACCAAAAAAATATCCATTGATACTTTTTTAAATCAGATCATTAATAATAACGAAGAAGATTCATTGTTGCGACGTTCCATGCGGTTCCCGTTAGGAACATGCAGCCCACACCACGAAAAGAGGGGAAAGTCACCACTAAAGCGCTCTTTTCACCTCGAAAAAGAGAACAAATTTTGAAAACCACCACGATTTGAGAGCGAATAATATCGATATTTTTATACGATAAATGGAGTTTGGCGGTCATTTGTGAAAAGTATCTTAATGTATTGAATAATAAATATTTGATTTGATTTGTTTTGTCGGTGCTTACCAGTGTGACTGAAACCTCAGAAATATAATAAAATATACCTTCTCATTTTCAAAATATACCGAGGGAAAAACGAACTTAACCCACCAATCCCCATTCTACTTAAACATTTAAAATATTACTGTTTGTAAATAACAGTGATCGTTTCTGTCTTCTTTTTTGCTGTTAACAGAGCTTAGTGAACGGTACTTTAAAGGAAAAATAAAATCCAGGCTGTACCAGCAAAGGAAGACTTTCAAACCAAAAAGTACAACAAAAACTGTTTCGTATTCAAGTGACCTGAAGTGTATGTAGGAGATGTGTAGTTTCCGTGTAGTTACCATGTAACAAATTACATTAAGTGGACATTTTTCTTGACCTTTGCTATTTAAGCCCTATTTAATAAACAATCCAATAAAAGAGAGTCTTAGAAATTAACCAATCTTGTAGAGAAATTCATTCAGCAACCGGATAAAACTATATGTTAAGTGCTGAGAGTTCTAGCTTGCTAGTAATATGAAACCGAATATCAATATCGAGGAAATATCAATGCAATGACGGATGGCAGCGCTGCCATTTTTCCATGTTGCCAATCGGCATCTTTCGAGCAGCTGCTCGCCTGTTGTTTTTTTGTGCTCTGCTCTTAACTTTTTGTGCGTTATTAACAAATTTCCCCGCCTCGCCGTGTTAATAACGATTAAACAATCCTGCGTGTGGCAACAATTGTAGCATTTACATAATACATAAATACATTACATTTACATAAAAGCGATGCAAAGCCAAACCTGAGCGAAAACGTATGGCGAAAAAATATGTAAAGGGGAAGGGTCAGAGAGGCCAAAGAGGAGAGGCAACTACACCCATCGCACAAAAAAAGCAAAACTACGTTCAATCTGTTCCTATTTAATGTTTACTAGTTTGCCTGTTTGTTCACCAATTAAATGTGAGTGTGCTGATGTGCTTGGGTATTTGGTTAATTTCCAAAAAGTGGCAGCTTGATGATCGGGGGAATGCTAATGTTCACACCTTGTCCCAAAAGGTGGGGCATGACGGCCCGATACCCTTTCTGAAACTATATCCACTCCCACCCCCATGTGGCCCCACCAATATGTGGTAGACCAATTAATACCCTACATATATGTACATAAATACAAACACTTATATATGAGCCTGACCGGGCAAGAACAAGCCTTAAGCCATCCTCCATCTTCCTTCCAGCATTCCCACCGATCGAATTCCTGCAACAAGGACAACGCCTTTGCACTCAGGGCTTTTGCTCATGTAAGTAGATTGTCATTGTCTTGAGTGCGTATTATATAACGAATTATTATTATTTTATTCGCTCTCCTATCGGCCAGGCCATGTGGCGAGAATTGCGACAGCTGCCGCCACCGCCATCGTTAATCCAGCGGCTGGGGTAAGGCAGAAGCAGGGAAACAGAAACGGCAACAGAAACAGCAACAGAAGGCTGTTAAACGTGGCGACCTTCGTACACAACCCACAACCCAGACTCTTTCCTCAACCAAAAAGCCCTACCCATCTAAAGCTGTTTTTGTTGCAGTGCCTGCATTAGTCATCGGAGGAACGAGGAGAATGACAGCCGACCCAAGGGAACAGCGACACAACGAGCCCCAAGCGGAAGCAAAGCAGCCATCAAACAAACAGTTGGCTAATTAATATAATAGCCAGAGGCAAAGGCAACGGCAAAGAAAGAACGTATCCACTGGACGAAATGTTCAAGATTAGGCAGAGGAATTGTATGCTGATTGTGACGGCCCTCGTGCTGGCGCCCTGCATTGTGATATTGATGGTGATGGCACCAGAACTATCCACCGAACAGTCGCTAACACAGCGGGTGGCCGAGTGCCATATGCGGCTGCAGTACCTGGAGTCCATGTACAGAGCCAGACAGGAGGACGTTGCCCTGCTCTCCCAGTACTTGGGCCAGCTGCAGTCGGGAAACGGGAGCGCGGCGAGTTCCCCGCCGCCACTGCCAGTGGCCAATCTGCTTGAAGGCCTCAGTCCCGAGGCAAGACAGCTGTTGAGGAATGCCTCACACGTAGCGAAAGGTGGGGGATGGAATGGTACGATGACCAGGGCCCAGAATATACGGCTGCCCAACGCCTACCACTTTCTGCCTCATCTCCTGGATGATGCGGGCTCCCTACGTCCAGCCTACCTGCAGAGCAAAGGCCGCACCGATGTCAGCATCGTTCTGGGGGTCCCCACAGTGCACCGGGAGAAGCAGTCCTATCTTCTGGGCACCCTGCACAACCTGATAGAGAACATGAACGAGGAGGAACAGAACGAGACGCTCATCATTGTGTACATCGGCGAGACGGACCTCGAGGCAGTGCAGCTCATAGCCCGGCAGATCGAGACCAGGTTCGAGCAGCAAGTGGAAAGCGGACTGATCGATATCATTGCGCCGGCGCCCAGCTATTATCCAAACTTTGAGCGGCTGCGCATCACGCTGAACGATCCGCTGGAGCGGGTGAAGTGGCGCAGCAAACAGAACCTAGACTTTGCCTACCTGATGGCATATGCCCACTCGAAGGGCACCTTCTATGTGCAACTGGAAGATGACATCCTGACCAAGCGCCAGTTCATAACGACCATGAAAAAGTTCGCATTAATCAAGAGCGCGCTGACCAAGCCGGATCAGCCGGCCTGGTTTGTCCTGGACTTTTGCCAACTCGGTTTTATTGGCAAAATGTTCAAGAGCGCCGAGCTGCCCTACCTGATTACCTACTTCCAGATGTTCTACAACGACAAGCCCGTCGACTGGCTGCTCACATACTTTATTGAGTCGAAGGTCTGCCGCACGGACAAGGACCAGAAGCACTGCAACCAGGAGAAGGCCAAGTACTGGCAGCACTTCCGTAAGTCGTTGTTCCAGCACATTGGCACCAGCTCCTCGTTGAAAGGAAAGGTCCAGAAGCTGAAGGACAAGCAGTTTGGCAGCAAGGTGCCCCAATACTATGCCCACACCCACAACCCTCCAGCGCTGGTCAAGTCCAACATTGCTCCGTACAAGAACTATCTGCTGAAGCGTGCCTATCGCGGGGAGTCCTACTTCTGGGGACTGCTGCCCCAGCCTGGCGACCTAGTGCAGTTTGTCTTTGAGCAGCCCACGCTCCTGCGAAGATACCTCTTCCGCAGCGGCAACTCCGAGCACCCCTCGGACCGGTTCTACAACACCACCGTGGAGCTGCTGCCGGCGGACACCCTAAGCGAGAACTCGTCCGTGTGGAGCAACTACAACACCACCACCGATGGTTACTTGGTAGTGGGCTCCTTTGATCACTTGGGCGTTGCCGAGGGCCTGCTGGACCCCAAGATCGGGGCCATCAAAGAGCTGCGTCTGCATGTCCACTCCGACAGTGAGAACTGGGCCCTGCTCAGCGAAATTGAGCTTCAGGAACTGAACAGTGATGGCCGGTCGGAGGCGAATCTGGCCAAGCCGCGATTCGTGACGGGCAGCTGATTGCTGCATCGCCACAGGCAGCGACAGGACGTAGAGGATTAGCCGCTTCTGCTCCTGCTCTTGCTCCTGCTTATACCCCTAGTCCTCCTCCATAATTGTCTATATCTGTATATCTGTGTGTATATTTTTCGAATGATACTTTTACCCTCGATTATCTAAATGTGTAAATAATCTCCAAGCATGTAACGCTCTCTCACTCTCTCTCTAAACTGTAAGCAGTCAACGGAGTAGCAGGACTTGTGTCGGCCTGCAGGCTCTCTCCAGCATCCCCAGAACCAATTTGTGAGTGTGGCACGAATGTCCCGAGCTTGCAGTCCTGCAATGGGTCCCCATCCCCTCTCTCATTGTATTCCTACATTGTATTGTACATCCAAATGGATTCTATATGCTTCAAGTGCCCCTTACAATTGTTCATGCGTTCATACTCATAGCTGAAGCGGTTCCCTTCAATTCCTATGTTACTCGAATATTAACTTATGGTTTATTCTGTTTTAGTTGTAAGTGTTAACTTGATTTTACATACATATTGGCAGATGCAAAAGAGACCATTCCATTTTGCTTTTTTCCCCATTTGCCGAATCTTATAAGTGATTTTATTGCTGGCATCGATCAAATTGAGTATTTATTGTTATATACATAGTTTCTGGCTTTCAAGAACTTCATTGGGCAAGTAGACTCACTCAGCTGTAGACCGCCATAACCGACATACCCACATAAATATCCATATGTATGTATGCATAGACCTAATTAATAACACAATGAAACGTTTTTCTAGCATTGTTGCTTTTTTACTGTGATTTGTTAATAATTTTTGCATACAAATGAACAAAACTTAACAACTAAATTATACATACTTACATACATAAATATATACACACATTAATATTTAACGAACGCTGATTAGAAATTGTAAAAGCGAAAATTCCAAAAATATTTAAGAAACGAAAACTTATACAAACGAAATTGGTTTAATCGAATTGGAAATGCCAAATTTTTTGATAGAATATAAAAATGGAAAGAAATAACAAGAATGATAAATATTTCAACTTAGTTCCTGTTGAGTAACGAGAATTGTTATATATAGCAGCAAATAAAAAACTATGTTAAACACTTTGTTCGGGTGCCTCAGGCCCTGGAATTGTCTATTTTCGAAATATATGTATGTATGTGTAACTTTCCCCAAAACTAATTTCGAACGCTGCTATATATGATATAACAAATAATTTAGACTGCTTTCGATAATAATTTACAGCACTTGCGCTCCTCATATTCTCGAACAATTCATTTTGCCAAATCCCAATTAGCAAGCTACAATAATAGTTGATAGTGGAATTCAAGTGGATGTTGATCGATTTGAATATGAATTTTACATTAGCTGGCATTATACGAATAGTACGCCCCCGCCCTCCAACACACACACACACACACAACATCGAGAAACCCAAGCCGTTGAAAACAACTCAAAACCTAATTGAAACAGTCTGTTTGTTTGTTTCAACAAATGAACAACAAAATATGCGTGTAATTGTGTATAAGCTTAATAAATAATTCAAGTATTTCAGAAAAGGAAGTCATTTCTTTTTTATTTCGGGTATAGATTAGAAAACGAGCGGAAATGTTGTGAGCTTCAAATTTTATTCAGTATAAAGGCATTTTCGACAAAAGATAAAATTATATGAAAAATTGCATTATTGAAAAAACAATGTTCGTTTTGAATAGTAACGAATAGTAAGTAGATCGTTATTTCAGTATGTTAGACAGCATTTTTCTGCTAACACTGGGGCTGTGTTATGAATCTGTGCGTCTTACCGGAGACGCAGTTTTTTGTGGTGTCAAAAAGTTGCGTTCGATTATTTCTGCTCTGTACAGAACATTTTTGCAGATCAAAAATCAATTTTTAGCATGGCTAGGGCTGATGGGAACATTTACATAACATCCTTAAAACAAATACTTTAAACTAGCTGTATCATTAAATAACACATTATTGTGGAGCTCTGTGGCATCTTCCGACGCAGTTGAAGAAGAACCCTCCCGTATGGCGTTTGAGAAGGAGGATTCCAGGACGAAGCGAACTCCAACTCGGCTAGTTGCGCAGACCGTGGACTTGAACAATTTCTGCGCAGCACAATTTGCCGTAATTGGCCAAGATAACGATGGTTGTCGATGGCAGTACATTTTCCGAGATTGTCTTCAAATTAATTTTGCGTTCTTACGATGTCTGAGTAGGGGGTCGGGTCGGCAAACAGTGTCCTCTCCTGCAACTGAAACGGCATTTAAGATCTGCAATGGTGCGTTCGATAATATTTCGTGCTCCCCCCGGATTAGTAAGTTTTATGTTAAGCCTGTGCTGTTGGTTGCCTATCACTGCGCTTTAATAGGGAGTCAAGTAAACAAAACTCTCTAGAGCGTGAGGGCTGAGTTGAGTTGTATTATTGGAGATGATATCCATGTAATAGTTGCAATCCTAATTAACGAATAATGTTTCAACGTATCAAAATATACTTGCTACACTAAAGAGTTTACTAATTACCATGTCATTAATGCTATAATAATATCCTTTTCTGTTAGGGAATACAGAATATTTTTGTACATTTTACATTTCCCATTTAAATGATCATGAATCTGTCCGTCAAAGAAATAAATTAGTGTAGAATCACTGCTACTTTCAAATGGGATTGCACATTCTCCAAATGAAAGGATATTTGTCGATCCGAAAACACTTAACGAACCTGAAAATTTAATTTTCAATTTGCCGTGCATGCTGCATGCTATTCACCGTACGTCAGACATGTTAAATACGAGTACACATCCCTATAAGTATGCACATACAGGTATATATATATATGTATGTATAAAGTAAATGGAGAAATTCATCCAATAGGGAACACATTATTTGGCCTAGTCCAAATGGGTGGAGCTACGATCAGATCTGTATTATGGTTCCGCTGTTTGGTTTGATTTCGAATACGTTTTATTGATTGATTTAAATCCTTGACAATATCATTGATACATAATATAATATAGATATACATATATATATATATATAGATAGTGGTTTGAAACGCTTGACAATATTCAATAAACATCACGATCACCTCTCCATTCGTTTTGGTTCGAAATACAGATTCCACATAACAGTTCATAGGGATACAATAATACAATACAAATTACAAAATGGTTTCGTTTCGATATTTCTCAAATACTTTGCTCTTTCCTGGAATTGTTTGCAACAATTTCGGATTACTATATATGTCGTATATGTCGTATGTGTGAGTGTGTATGCATAGTTGAAGAATAGTTGTATAAATACTCGATTTGATTACAGTATGGGGGGCGGTTATTTGTATTCAAAATGGCATATTCCGCCACGCAGCTGCTTAATTGGTTCGTTTCTGGTTCAGTCATTTATTTAAGTTTCCAGAGTGCATCCAGTTCGTTGAGCGGATCCTTGTTCTCTTGCTGTTCCTTGGCGTTGACCTGCGGTGCCATTTTCATTTGATATGAGGTCATGATGCCACCTGCAGCATACAAACAATAAGCTTTCTGGTTGAACTTCATTTGGTAATGTCGAATGTCGGCAATCACTTACGCTGGTTGAGCACATTGTGTGCATTACAGAGCACGATTTGCATGGCCTGCTCCAGGATGGCCGAGTCCCGCAGGGAATTCTGACGCTGCGAACAAATGCGAGACCAGACATCAACCACATCTGGGGTAAATAGAAGGCATATTAATCTACAATCTACAGTTTATTATTTCCCCCTCACACTCACTTATCAAAATAGGCTGCTTGCTCTGAGTGGCTATCAGGGCGCACACGCCAATGACGACCATCTCGGAGCGCTCTGAGCCCATCAAACAGCTCATGATCAGTGGCGAATTGGGTGCACTGGCTGACTGACAGCGCTGCCGATGTGTGTCCAACGAGTTCTCGGATATACCCAGCAGCTGAGCGCATGAACTAAACAGAAATCATTGATAAATCCCCTTAAGTGCTCGAGTACTTACCCCTTGGTCCACTGCTTCAGTTGTAGCAGCGACAAGTCCAGGACAGCATCAGCCCCATGCATGGACAGTCTCAGCTGATACTCTGAGCAGTGGCTGAGCTGCTGCAGCTTCACACAGGTTACCGTGTAGTCATCGTAGTGAGTGGGCTGATCCAAAGCCTGTGGCCAAAAGGGATCAAAGAGCTGAAGGACAGAGACAAAATAGAGTTAGCGATGCACCACAGTTGGTAGACAAATCCCACCTCATTTGTTGTATGCAGACAGACCACCGTGCGTGACTTCTCCGACCAGATCATGGACCAGAAATCGTTGATCGTGTTGGCCTGGGGCGTCTGAGCAATGATAAAGTTGGGACATCTGGCACTCAAGTTCTGGAAGGGATATTAAAGTGATCTTAAATGAATTCTTAAATGGAATACAAGCGTCAGCAACACACCTTCATGTAGGCCGCGTTGATATAGTCATCTGTCTGCTTGTCCAGCTTCACTCGCGCATGGTCGAAGGGCAGACAGTCCAAAGAGCGATTCTTCTCTGGGAACAGTTTGGCAATGGTCGTTGATCGCTTGCCACTGCTCTCCTTATTTAGCAGCTGCTGCAACTCCTGCCACTTGGCACCCAGCTGGGTCTTGCCGTTGAGCATCTTAATGTGCAGATTCTCCAGCAGCTTCTCGTAGCTCTCCACCTCTTTCTGGAAATATTTCGTTGTCTTCTCATCGGTGAACCTTTCGGCTTGGAATGCAAAGTTATTGGGATATCCATTGGCAGACTTGGGCTGCTTCTCGCTAACGGAATGTGTGAGGGAGACCGAGTCCCAATCAAAGTTCTCAAGCGAACTCAGATCCGAGCAGTTGGAGAGATTGTCCAGGCTGGGTGTCCTTGCCAGCGGAGCAATTGGGGATGAATCTGCTGCTGCGACTGCTGTGGCTGTCTGTGGCTGTTGCTGCTGATGCTGGAGGAGGTATCTCAGGGGATGTCTCAGGGGGAGAAACAGGCTAAAACAGATCACATGGATAGTCACACTCTTTATGGGATTCCATCTCATACACACCTCCGCAGTGATCTCCGTTTTGATGGGTGTCAACACCTGGCTGCCTGGCGGGGTAGCCACCAACTGAGGCTGTAGCAGGGGCTGTGGCAACATCGGAGGCGGCACAGCAACAGAGCAATCTATATCCAGGTCGCTCAACAGGTCCACATTGCTGGGAGCAAGTGCAGCTGCCTCCTTGGTCGCAGCCGAGGAGGCGTAGGGCGCACTACTAGTGGTCGTCTGAGTGTTGGCAATGCTGGTGGCTCCGCTCTGCATGTAAATGGAACCCGATGGATTTGGCTTGGGCTTCGGAGTGGGCGGCTGCAGCTGCTGCGGTTCAGGGGCTCCTCCGACGTGTTCGGTCGTGGAATGGTGGCCGTAGGGTGGCGTATAGTAATTGGATGTATCTGTACCTCCTCCTGGCTGCTGCGGAGTTGCTTCATTAGCAGATGGGGCTCTGTCTGGGCCTGTCCCTGTTCCTGCCTTGGTGTGCGACACAATGGGCGACTGTAGGGGGAATACACATGTTTAATAAAGAAACTATACTCCGTAGAGAAACTACTCACATCGAATCCTGTGGCTGGATTACTACGATTGGCATTCTCCGAGTCCGTGGTCCCGACCACGGCCGCCTGCTGCCCTCCACTCTGGCTGAACTGATAGCCCAGCGAGCCCTGCGGCTTGGTGAGGTTCTCCTGCTGATAGCCACTGCTGTAGTCGTAGGCGCCCGTCTGCGGATTGTAGCTGTACCCAGGATGGTTGGAGTAGCTGATGTACGTGGGAGCGGGAGTGGGAGCTGGATTGGGAGCTGGACTGGAGGCTACCGGAGGAATGGAAGCGGTAGCAGGAGATGTAATCGGAACCGGAGCAGCAGCAGCAGAAGCAGTCGCGGAGTATCCTGCCGCTTGGAGATCACCGTATTGCTGGGGGTACTGCTGGGATGGGGATGGGCCCGGATTCACTGGCATCGAAGGACCCGGAGAGGATTGGAGTCGCGCCGCAGATCGGGGAGATGCCTGGACAGCCTGCGATGGATATAGCGAGGGTTGTTGAGGCGCATAGCCCATGGATGGCTGCTGCGTAAGATATCCGGAAGGTGGCTGCGGATATACCATGGACTGTTGCGGTGTCTGGGTCTGGGGATATCCCGGGGGCTGCTGCTGGGGCGTCTGGGAATGAGGATAGCCAATGGTAGGTTGCTGCTGGGGCGTCTGTGGGGTCGGATATCCTGTGGACTGATGAGGTGAAGCATAAATCATGGGCTGCTGAGGCGGCTGAGCAGAAGGATATCCCGACGGGGGCTGGGGATAGGCCTCTGACGTTTGAGGCGGATACATCGAGGCAGGGTGAGCGGCCTGTGGGTAGACTCCTCCTGTTTGATAGCCCGCCGAGGGAGTGGGGTTGACCACATACGGGGCCTGTAACGAGGCTGGTATCTCGCCAGGATTTGAATTCGATGCTGTGGCCACATACAGGGGCTGCTGGTAGTTGAATCCCTGAGCATTCGACGCTGCTGTAGCTGCATAAGCCTGCGGAGGAGGCACTGCAGCATTCGGATAGTTGTAATTGTAGGCCGCTCCCGATCCCACCTGACAGCCCTCCTGCGACTGCTGCATGGTGAGCTGCCCCATGGCCCCGTGGAGCGTTTGGGAGTTGGGCGAGGGTTGTGCCTTGTAGGCCGGCGGAGCGATGTTCTGCTGCTGCTGCTGGTACATGGGATTCGTGTAGCCCGCCGCACTGGGATCGTAGTATTGCTGCTGCTGGAGACTGTACGGCGGCGGTGGCTCGTTCGGCGGGGCCGTGGCATAGGCAGAGCACGCCGCCTGAGTCGGATTCTCCGACCCCACAGGCACTGGACGCACTGCGTGCACATACGAGGAAGCTGCTGCGGGAGTAGTGGCATCCGGAATAGGCGCCATTCCGGCGGCAATGCTGGCCGCAGAGGTTCCCTTGGCCTTGAGGTAGTCCCGCAGCTTGGGGGTCCCTACTCCTCCTCCTCCTCCTCCAATGACGGCTGCTGGCTGCACTTCGGTTGCGGGTTTGCTGGGAGTGGCCCTGACACTCTGCATTCTCTGCTGCCGCTCCTCCGACTGCACATCGCGGGCGGACTTGAAGCGGCTGAGGAGCTTTTGGATATTGCCCGCCAGCTTCTTGTAGAACTCCAGCCCCTTGGCGGACTTGGCCAGCAGATCCTCGTACACGTCGTAGGAGGCTGCCAGCGAGCTGTAGAAGTGCTCCCGCTTCTGCTTGACGTCCTGGAGGGTCTTCAGCACTGGCGCGGCCTTAGCATAGTTCTCAGTGAGCGCCTGGAGTATGTTCTGCTGGGCCAGCAGGTTCTGGTCCAGCAGCTGCGTAATCCTGTCGTGCTTGGCCATCTCCGCGACGAACAGGGCCTGCAGTCCCTCCTGCCCCCCGTGCGCAATGACCTTACCCGTGATGTCATCCTCGTTGATGGCTATGCGGAGATCCGCATGGAACTGGGCGCGCTGGGCCTTCATCTCGTTGACCTTGTTGAGGACCAGCTTCACATCCTTGAAGATCTCCGCGGTGTTCAGCTCCGAGCTGAGCTTGGGCATCAGCTGCTGGATCTCCTGGAGGGGACGGGCCAGGATCTTCAGGTTGTTCACGTGCAGGCTCATGGCCTTTCGCAGGGTGTTGTTGGACTCCCCGGCCCGGGCATGCGCCTCGCTGTACTTCTGGAACTCCCGCGTCAGCTCGGTAATGTGGGCATTGGGTGTACGCTGCACACCGCTGGCCGCCTGAAACTCCCGCTCCGCCCTGGCCTCCTCTTCGAGCATGTGCGTCAGCTCGGCGAGATTCGTCTCCACGTCGGTGGTGATCTCGGCCAACTGCGACATGGCCTCAATCAGGTCGCTGATCGCCGTCTTATTGGCATGCAGGGCGGCGCAGCGGTCCACGATTCCCTGGGGCAGCTTGTTGGCCTGCTCCTCGTTGATGTTCAGATTGTCGAGGGTGAGGGAGCTCATGTAGCCCTCCAGCTGTCCGTCCTTCTCCTCCAGCAGGGCCCCGTACTTGCGCAGCAGCTTGGCCTTCTCCTCGCTGTACAAGGAACTGGCCTCGTGCGCCTTCATGGGCACAAGGCGGGCCAAAATGTCCGCCCCGGCGTACTCCTCATCGGTGACCTGGAAGCCTATGCCATTCACCAGGTTGGCCCCCTGCACAGCCGCAATGGTGGACAGCTCTGGCACGGCCTCGTGGTAGATGAACTCGTTCTCGTTTTTGGCATTCTTGCGCTTGGCCTCCACCACATCCGCAGTGAAGCTTAGGGACTCATTGATCTCCTTTTGATCCGGCAACCCCTTGGACTCCTTGCGGGCCTCCTCCAGCTTGTCCCAGCTGGCCTGGAATGGTATACATATCTAGGTGACCTATTCAGGCAATCCTTCTCTGGTTCTAGGTACCCACCTGGTAGAGAGTTACTCGCTCGCCCATTTGGCGCTTCTCCTCTGCGTTCTGGCCCTGGTACAGGTAGAGGATGCAATTCAGATAGTTAATCTTGAAGCGCACGTATTTCTTCCACAGCTTGTAGACAGAAGCGTCGATGACCTGGGCCACCGGACCATCGTCGCCTCCGGTGAGAAGAGCTGCCAGTGCGGCTCCGTAGTAGACCACGATCTGGGCCGTCACCTTGGCCACAATGTGCGGCTTGCGGTTGTCGATCAGCGACTTCTCCAGAATGCACTCCTGCGCCTGGGCCAGGCACACCTGCTGCTGGTAGACCAGCAGCTCGGTGGTCATAAAGTCGCCGCCACTGTTAACGGTCGCATAGCGTTCCCTCAGCTCGTTGTAGGCCCAGGCCGCGGCCTGGAAGTGGGTGCACGCCATTTTCATGCCATCGACATCGCCGCGCGTCACTGAGGCCCCAGACTGGGTGTGAGAGGCAGCGATGTTGAAGAGGACTGCTGCCCGCTCGAAACGTATATCGGTGACCTCGTGAACGGCACTGTGGTAGAGATCCTTCCAGGTGAAGGTGAAGATGCCCTTGTCGGCCAGCTGCGGAAAGCGATTCTGCAGGGCGTGAAGCTGGCAGTAGTAGCGCTTCATCACGGGTGCTCCATCCTTGGTGGTACGCATGGCCTGATTCCGCAGCGTCTCCAGGGCATGCACTTCCTTGGAATAGGCCTCGGGATCCTCATGATAGAACTCGGCTATATACTGTGGGGCAATAAGAGCACAGAGTACCAATTATTTGTTTATGGCTCACGCTTTTTCAGCCCCCTCTGCCTGCCTCCCTCTGGGTGGGCTAATCAGCCGATGACTCAGCTCCGCACATAACAAAGGCAGCTTATGCACAGGCAGGGAAGAGGGGCTGTCTGGTCTGCCTCTGTCTGCTGACTTTTTACCAGCTGCAGCGCAGTTGATTCGTTTTGCGAAATATTCTTTTAACTTTTGGGGGAGTCTATTGTTGCTGCTCTCTCCATTTTCGGATCTCTCTTCTGGGTTCGTTACCTTCTTCAAAGCAGCAAAGGAGGTGCCCTCCGGGCTGGATTTTAGGGCAAACCACAGCATATGCAGACGTGGCACAGCTTCCATGGTGAGTCCGCCTCGCTGACTTTTCACTCAATATATAATTTAAATTAATTGTTTGCAATTCAAATTAAAAAAAAAAACAACAAATAATTCTATCTGCAGTGTGGCCGATAACGATACAAAATACCTTCAATCCAAAAAATAAATACCGTTAAATACCATTTCAGTTTCGAGAAATACCATTTAAATACCATACCAAAAAAAAACCAGGGCAAGCCGGCCATCAAACGAGACTTAGCCCATTTAACACCCGTCTATTTAAAAAGTTGAGCACCCTTTGTTAAACCGCGGAAAATAATACTGTTTGCAAAGGCTCCTGACATCTTTCACCTGTAATGCGTAAAATATGTTAAAGTTATATAAATTTCGTGGAAATAATAAAGTTTTCAGAACTCTTTTTCATTGGATTGTGACATAATAAGGTTCAAACAAAAACGGCCAAAGCATAAAACGTCAATTTTGACTAAATGTGACGTCATTGTTGCTGGTCAACCAAGTTTCTTCTATGCGTATGTACTTTTGTATACCTTTTTTCATTTAATTGATGTTAAATTTGTTGTTCCAAGCTCCATTGAAACATTAATAATGATTTGATCCTAGATTGACATGTTTTTTACCTATTAATGCATATGTTTTGTGTTTTATAAATACATTTATCCCAGTTCTGATACCTATTATTGGTAATAGGAACCCTATTATGGTACCCGTGAGCTACAAAATTTCGTTAATATCTTTAAAACAGAGACTGAGTAGTTTCTGCATTAATTGGAGCCTAAGATTACTAACATTACCTCTATTCGATAATATTCATTTTTCCAAGGTATGAAGATTGTGGCTCATTCCGTGCCAAAGTTGCACAACAATTCTGCATATTCATATCCCCATGTTTCTGAACAATGTCTTTATTTTAATGAACAATACCTTAAACGATGCCTAATTAATGCGTCTATCAAAAACTAAAAATGCATACCAAGAATTATTTTTTTTCTACTTTTCCCGAGTTTTTAAAGTCAAAATTTAGCTGCATTTGTCAGCTTTTCAAAGTTCTTTGCTACCAGATATAATATTATTAAGTTATGTGAAAAATAAAATCACTACCTCTGAAAAAAAACATGAAAAAAAGACCAGATTTGAAAAATTCTTTAAAAAAAATTTAACCATCAAAATAAACCATAATTCGCTACAAATTTTTAAACCCCGAAATTTATAAGAACAAGTAATTTTGGGCCACAGCCTAAATGCCAACCAATAAAAAATGGTTGAATTTTTGGTACAGTTTCAGTATTTATTAGTAAAAGGAAATTATTTTCATTTTAAGCCAATTAATTGAGGAGACAACCCGTCGGAAAATGTCGCGTGCGTCAAAAATTAGCCTTAGATAGGATACATTTTAGCCTGGGGAATGTCAACAGCTACAAGCTGGAGAGATTCGGAGAATTTCCTCCCTCCGCGGAATTATTTTTACTATTATTTTAAGCTACTACTTGCTTAAATTTTACATGTATTTGATAAACGATTGTTTGGTTAAAAAATTAGCCAAACGAAGCACATTCTAGCGTTCCTATTTTTAGAAAACTTTATTTTTGTGATCAGAGAAAGTTAGGTATTAAAGTGAGATCTTGTTAAATTTGAGAATCGTACATTTATATTTATCTTAGGAGTCCGCCAGATTCATTTGACCAGACGGCCTATCATCAACAATAAATATTTTCTTTTTGTACCCAAAAAATAATTTTCGATATAAAATCCGTTACAAAAGTAGCGGTTTACCTTACGCTTTTTCAACTTTCAGACAACTAAATCGTTCGAAATTTTCTGTAATTATTTGGGGTGGTTTTCTGGGCAAAGTCCAAAAAAATGTTCGCGCGACAATGAAACAAGAAAATAGTGCCGAATATTCACAAGTCCACTAAGTACCAAAAAAATATCCATTGATAACACTACTCGACAAAATCGAACTTTTTTTTTCCTCAAGGATCCAAACCGACTTTTTCTGATAGATATGGGGATTTAAAATTTTTTAAAGAATTATGGTTTTTTTTCTATGGCAGAACTTTTTTTGGATTTTTGACTGATATTTTTTTAGCTTTTTTCAGAGTAGCGTTGTTTTTTCACATAGCTCTAGTATCTTACGTCTGGTTGTAAAGAACTTTGCTATTTTGAAAGGTAATTAAAACAGCTAGGTTAAGCCCAAATACTTTGATTCAGTTCGTCTGGGTAAAGCATTGAATGCAAAAGGTTGTGCGGTATTTGTTACGAAATTTTGACTTTAAACATAAAAGCGAAAAAAATTCTTGTGTCCTCTATTTTTTTGTGTATAGGTGCGTTATTTGGCGTCGTTTAGGATCGCTCATTATCTGGGGGGAGCTAAAATCGTTAACCAAACCTAAAATATGAAAAAATGAACAAAAATACCTTTTGGAAGGTTGCGGGCCCAACTGCCAATTGGGAACAAAGCAAACGAACAAGGGTTGTATATTTGGTATCTGATCGCGCTCCTTTGTTCCCAATGGGCAGTTGGGCTCGCAACCTTCCAAAAGGTATTTTTTGTTCATTTTTTTCATATTTTAGGTTTGGTTAACGAATTTTAGCTCCATAGTCTCTCCATAGATTTTAATGAGCGATCTACGACGCCAATTAACGCACCTATACACAAGGGCACAGTATATTTTTTTTCGGCTTTTCCTGATTTTTAATGTCAAAATTTCGTAACATACCGCACAAAATCATTTTTGCATTTCAATGCTTTATATTTCCCAGACGGTAAGCTGAATCACAGTATATGGGCTTAACTTCTAGCTGTTTTAATTACCTTTTCAAATAGGGTCTTTCACCGACGTGTACTGGCTATGTGCGGTCCTGGCTTAAAATACCAGTTTTCAAAAATTCTTCAAAAGTTCTGCCATAGAAAAAAATATCATCAAACCATTTCTAAGCCCCAAATCTTTAAGAAAAAGTTCGTTTTGTTCCTTAGGAAAAATCGTGTTGACTAGTGTAATTTATTAAATCATATCATTAATATTAACGAAGAAGATTCATTGTTGCGACGTTCCATACGGTTTCAATTAGGAACATGCGACTCACACCACGAAAAAAAGGTGAAAGTCACCACGAAAGCGCTCTTTTCAACTCGAAAAAGAGAACAAATTTTGAAAAACCACAACGATTTGCTCACGAACGAATAGAGTGACCAAGTCGAAAAATACCAATATATACCAGGAAGTTTTTCGAAAATATCAGTATATACCATGATAACTGAAGGAACTTAACCCACTTAATCCCCCTCCAACTATAGTTAAGCCGCGGAAAATAAGACAGTTTGTAAAAGCTCTTTACTTTTAATTACCACGATATCGCCTGAACTGTGCTGAAATTCTTCAAGTCTCATAATTTTCGTGGGAAATTGATAATAAAAATAAAATGAATTGAATGAGTGAACAAACCAAAATAAAAAACGTTTTTAGACCCTCATTTTTTAAAATAATGACAAATAATTTTTTCTCCTTTTCTGAAATTTAGATGCGGATTTATATGCTTCTTCATGACTTTCCCGCAAATGCCTTTCCAGTGAGTTTATGTTCGCAAAGCTTCCAAAATTAAATCCCGTTTGCAACCCAATTTATTCAATAAAAAAAACGAGAAGGAACGTGTGAGTCGCTTTTGGGGACGTAGAGTCGCGTACTCAGTCGGTATATATAATTTTTTGCTACATCTGTCACTACACTTGTAGCAGTGTCTGGAAACAAAATTTGGTTGCTCTAGCTCTTATAGTCTCTGAGACCCAGGCGCTCATCAAGACGAAATTGAAATTTACATTTTAAAATTAAAGTGCAAAATGTGCGACGAAAAGACAAATGATTTGGTTTGTTCACGGTTTATTTTATTTTTTATACTTTATCAGCTTACATCTAAGACAATTGGGACTTACATGTATTACAAGTCGTGTGAGAGAGAGGGTGAGTTCCGCCTCCATTTCTTAGTCTCCTAATCCTAATAACAAGAATGCAATTACTTTCTAATTGCCGCTTACAGGTTGACGGGATGGGTGGGGGATACAATGGCAGCATACGCTATGTTAAGTTAGGTACATACGTTGGTCGTGCTAAAACTAGATTTACATTCTAATGGAAACGCTACTAAGGCCTTTCGCTTTGCTACGAGCCACTTTGGAGATGTTTCGTTACAGTTTATGAGACGTTCGTTCATCGCTCAACTCTCATTCAATTTCTATGTACATGTCGCTGCTTTGCGTAGAGGGACTATAACTCTGATCCGCCTCGGGATCACTGAGGACACTAGCGTCTGACTCGGTCTCAAAATCCAGTCGGGGAAATTGTGGCGCGTTCGGTTTGGGGGCATCCACGTTTGGCGTCTGCGCATCGATGAAAAAGTCTGCGATAGATTGGGTAAAAAATACAAATTAGTTAACATAACTTTTAAGATATGTACATATAATATGTATGTATGTGTGGTGTGGGATAATTTGTTGGAATTTGTTTCGGGAAGACAATCAACACGCGTGGGCGTACAATTTTGATCATTTACCTGCGACTGATATAAAATTTGGACTCTAAGAAGGCTAAATATATATGAGGTGCATGAAAAGTGCGATGAATAGTGCTTGGGTAGAGTGCTTTAAAAGGCTACGTCGTGCAGTTCGGGAGTCGTGGGCATGATTTGTACTGTAAGAAAGTTTTGGTGTTTGTTCAATTTACAAATAATGAATCCCGGATGATTGGATGATATGATGCGTCATAAATTAGGGGGCCATTCCCTTCAACCAATGGCTGTTCAACCAACCTGACTCGACGCCATTCCACTCGCTGACGACCGTGTTATGGCTGTGTTGATGGGGATTCGGATGATCCTCTACGGAGCCCTCGTAGATCTGTAGGTCTGTGGCCAGCTCATCGTGCTCCGTCATATCGTCAAAGTCGAATATCTCGGTTACCTTCACCTTGTTCGTGTTGTTGTCGGTGTAGTAGTAGGCGTAGAGAGCATCGTTGTGGGTGGTCATCTTGAGAACATGCTCAAAGTTGTCGACATCGTCCTCCAGGGGAGTGGCACCGCTAAAATGTTCAATCGTCGTTAGCAACTGTT